ATTTGAATTCCCCTCATTCAATGTTCTACCAAAAGTATAAACAGTTGTCAGGAACTGAATTAAACCAATGAAACGTTGCCCAGCTGGCGTACTTCAGTGTGATTGCCACGGTCGTTCTAGCGTATAGTGTAATCTGAACTAGATTCTAGATTCATAAAGCTATAGTGTCATGAGGTACTCGCTCTCGAGTCGTTGCAAACCCATAAGACTTTCGTTGTATTTTGAAATAGATGCAGATATTTTTATTGAAATTGAGAATTTTTGTCGCTCCATTGAAAGTCTATTCACCCGAAACTTTTGACGGGTCGTGAAGAGATCATAAAATGAATTTTTAAGCGGTTTAATCAAAGTGTTCTAAAGAGACTCAATTACTTTGATGAACAGATTTATTGAGGCTTTTATTCACATATAAAAATTGATCGGCAAACATTTACACTCACCTAAAGGATTATTTGGAAGACCTGTTTAATTTCTCATTAATGCAATTATCTAATCAGCCAATCACATGGCAGTTGCGTCAATGCATTTAGGGGTGTGGTCCTGGTCAAGACAATCTCCTGAACTCCAAACTGAATGTCAGAATGGGAAAGAAAGGCGATTTAAGCAATTTTTGAGCGTGGCATGGTTGTTCGGTCTGAGTATTTCACAATCTGCTCAGTTACTGGGATTTTCACGCACAACCATTTCTAGGGTTTACAAAGAATGGTGTGGAAATGGAAAAACATCCAGTATGCGGCAGTCCTGTGGGTGAAAATGCCTTGTTGATGCGAGAGGTCAGAGGAGAATGGGCCGACTGATTCAAGCTGATAGAAGAGCAACTTTGACTGAAATAACCACTCGTTACAACCGAGGTATGCAGCAAAGCATTTGTGAAGCAATCATTTTGAAGTCCATTCAATCCATATGGATTTATATTACAATCTCAATATGAACATTTTGAAGTGTAGAATAGACTTTTTCATTGGAGGGACAGAAATAAATGATGCTGCCTGATAGCCCTGGGAAAATCCGGCTTTTCTCTCTTTTTTTTTTTTAAACGTAGTTGCTTGTTTAAAGCCACTGCCAATCATTGAGCTCCAAGCATGTGTAAGGAGGGGAAGGACAAACACAGTCGTTGTATTGACTGACAGACTTTTGTAAAGGTGCCAGCTTGCAGCTGAGTCTTCTGTTGTATTGTATGTATTCACATAGCCAAAATGGGACCATAACACTCTCTTTTTTTTCTTTTGCGACCCTTGCATTCTTTAGTGCGTAGCTTATATTTCCCTAGTTTACAGCCTTCACTAGTGCACACTTTTTCCCCGTTCGCTCCTTCTGTTACGGCCCACTCAAGGAGGAAACATAACTCAGAGAATCTTCCACAAATAAATGGCACATACTGCAATGGCACAGCAGAGAGTGAGTATGTTATAGATAGTAAAACTAGTACATTAGTGACTGTAGAAGCACAGTATTAAACATTAGCCACTTTCCACATGTAAAATGTAAAATGTGGCCACACAGCAGTCTTAAAGGAGAAAGTATCTTCTTATTAAACGGTCTGTACACTTACAAAGTTCTCAATGCGTCGTTTTGCATGTATGGAGCCTCATTATGTTATTGCGTTAGTGTGGGGCTATTTTGAGCCTTGTTAGTGGTATAAACTAGCGATTTCTTTTTACTTAGTTAGTCAATGCCCCCAGTACTAGCATTATACGCTAAACAGTTTTTAGAGGTAAAACTCTTTAGATTCGATTATCATGAAAACAAATCTCAGAGAACGATTGACTAGGTACCGATGTTTTATTAGACCAAAGGTTCATTGTTCGCCGGAGTTCTCCTTTAATACGGTCACTTTCACACTCACAATTTAAAGTGATATGACTTCTCAGTTTTATGATTGTCGCCATCTTTGTTGTCACTTTGGTAACTGTTGTTATGCTTACTGGTGAGAGAATACGAGATTGACTCTCGTTGCATGGTCATGCAGATAATATTCAAGACGCTATTGTAATTTACTGTGTGATTGGGACATTTTGAGACTAGCACCTGTAAGTAAATGCGGTTGTCAATCACACAAACGGACTGAGGCTGTAAAACACTCTTGTAAAACCGAATTGACGCTTCTGCTTAAAGGGATAGTTCACTTTGAAATTAATTTTTGGTATGTTTTAGCTTACCTCAAGGGCATCCAAGATGTAGGTGTCTTTGTTTCCACAGTATTTTCAATTTTGATATTTTTAGGTCAAACCGTTCTTGTGTGTCAGTCATAAATGTAAGTCTCGTAAATGTAAGTACACATTGACAGCCACATTCAGATCAGTTGGACGTGGCTGTGGTTACAAGAGGTAAAAACGATATAAATACTGTTTGTTTTCTCACACAAACCGCTCGTTTCGTGTCTTAGGCCATCAATGTGTACTTGCATTTACGAGTCATTAAATCATGTTTAATTTGGACTTCTCTGTGCATGCTCTTTGAGGTGGTGACCATAGACCTCCATTATATGACAGACAAGAACGGTTTGACCTAAAAATATCAAAATTGAAACTACTGCGGAAACAAAGACACCTACATCTTGGATGCCCTTGCCTTGAGGTAAGCTAAAACATCCCAAAAATTAATTTCAAAGTGAACTATCCCTTTAATGCATCATATCTACTGTACACACAAGCAAAAATGTTTTATTGTTAAGATACCATTTACACATCAGCACTAAAATATTGATAAACTCCGAAATTATCTTTAAATGCTGAGCCATTTTCATCTGCCTGCAGAGAAGTGCTTCAGTTTCACTATTTGTTAACATTTATGGACTTCCGAGTAACAGGCGTTAGGGGCAGAGCAACACAATTTTGGATTTGAAAGCACAATAGTATCCTCTGTAGAGCCACAGCACTGATGAATGGAAAAGACGCATAAACATGCTGCTCATGTTCGAGATGCTGAAAAAAACAGCCAGACTCAGTGGAATGGTCAAAGATCTAGTGCATGTTGTTTACATAACAGAAAAATGCACAAATGCAATGTTCTGTTTATTGCACTAGCCCTTTAAGAAATGGTACAAGTGCGCAGACAAAAGATAGCGCGCTGCACAGTGAAGTGAATTTTGGCTTACAACAATGTCTCTATTGACTTGCACAAGTATTACAACAACAGCAGATCACAAAAACTCATTTAAACCTTTAATCTAAACAGTGTGGATTAACCAAGTCCTCTCTGTCAGAACTGATGATTGGCCCAAACCAAACCTGACCTCACATACTTATGATAATCTAATGTTTTGTTCACACATAGCATGAAAATAGTTATTTACAAAAAACAACTTCGGTAGCACTTTATTTTACAGTGCTGTTCCGCATGCTGTACTTATTATTAGGGCTGGGTAATAAATATCGATTTCTCTTCTTAAATCTCAAGAATCGATTAGTCATCCTGTTTCATTTGAATGAACGGATCATTGTATCGTGGCTGTGCGCATCCAAAAAAAAAAAAATCGCAATAATCTTTTTCCTTTGTTACTATTGATATGAAACAAAGTCTCAATTTTCAAATTACGTCCATTTTCTTTAGAAATTCAAAAACATAAATAGCGTTTTCGCTTCCAGAGAAGCAGCAGCGCTGATCTCTCTTCCGGCTTAATAATACCAGTTACAGCGCGAAATAAACATGAACGAGCATCTGAAAGTGTGTTAAAAGATACAGTACAACTTATCGAATCCGTATCATGTCACATTGATTCGCTCAATCAGTGTTTCAACCGTGGAAAGACGTCAATTAAACAGCTTGTAATCAATGTCGTCATATTTACCTCAGAAAACACACATAAACTCGTTAGTCAGTTAGAAAAAATAACTCTAGAGAGGAGCATTTAGCTAAACATATACACCATGTTACATATGCATTATAATCTTAATGTTCTTCAACATTTAATGCATATTTGAATAAATCTGGCAAGTTTTTATGACAGTCACCATTTAAATGTTTATATTTCATATAATCTTCTTATAAAAAAAATTAATAAAAGTGCAATTTAAGTGTTTGCATAGCTACAAAACAGTTCATTATTACCTTCATATTAGGCTAATGGAGTCTATAGGCTACAACTAGACTCGCAAAGTGTACAGCATTAGTTGAGAGATTTGATTCCCTTGAGAAAAATTGGCATTTATTGTAACTGATATCCAAAATAATCCATATTGAATCGAATCGGAATCGAAATCGAATTGATATATTATAATATATTACTTATTATAGTAATATAATAGTTACTAAATAGTATACTATCATATAATAGTAATAGAAGTTACAATAACTTGGTAACTTTTATTCCTAAGTACTTTCTTAAATACATTGTAAGTACACTGTAAAATTCATAGTGTTACACATTTATTTAAAATAAACGCATGGTTAATAATAGGAAAATTCATCATATTTACGAATGTCATAAATGCTTGAACCAATGTTTTCACCAGTCTTGTCTCATACGGTATATGTATATTATATACTGAAAAAATAGCAATAATAGTATGATTACAAGAACAAAAACACAATGGATTCAAAGAGTAAAGTTCATTAAAGCTGAGTTGAGGAAGTGCATGCGCCTCAGTGTCTAAGGGCACTCGACATCTCTCTTCAAAGATTTAGCATTTATACTGTTTGAGTGCCAAAGTTTTTAAAAACGATGTAAAATATTGGTGAGATCTTTTGCATATTGTTCGTTAGTTTTTGTTCAATGAATCAGTTACTTTCCAACTCTGCAGATTGTTGCTTTTATGGTTTGCCAATACATTCAGCTGCCATCTGTTTCTGTCCTCATATTTAATTTGACAGTCTTTATAACTTTACACATGTCCTTACAACAAACACTGTTGAATTAATTCTCGAAGTATCCAGTTGCAGCGAGGGAAACAATGTTAAGGTTGCGCTGGTTGACTGATTGCTCCAGGATGTGTGATGTTTGACTTTCATTTCTTACCTAAGTATATATATATATTAAACATGTCTATAAATATAGATTGTCCCAAACAACTCTAATGTTATGTGTGTTTTCTAACCGAAATTCTCTCACAGAGGAGTTTGCAGAAGAAAAGGTGGATGTTGAGCTCAGTAAGGCTGAAGGAACCTCCTCTTCTGAGGAGAAGCAATGTGGTATGCATTGCGGCACTTCTAATAAAGATGATTTGACATGTTTGTCCCCCTTTTCTCTTTCAGTTCGCCCTTTTTTATTTATTTACTTTTACTGATGTAATGAAATGCCTCTCACTAACTTTGCCTTGTTAAATATACAGAAGGTGCATTCTTCGAAGTTTCACAAAACGGGGTCTCAATATGTTTACTTTGGTCAATTTATGTACGTAATAAACAGTGTTGTGCAAGTTACTTCCAAACTGTAATACATTAGGTATTACTTGTTACTGTTATTTAAAAGTAATTCATTACCTTACAATATTACTGTCTCAGAATTGTAATGCGTTACATTACTCATGTATTACTTTTGAGTTACTTTCACCAAAATAACTAAGTAGAACTTAACTTTTGGGCTGTAACGATAAGCAATATGAAACCGAAATCGCGATTCGCCACACGACTCAGATCAACGAACCTACAGAATCGCGACACACCTCTTCCAACTCCAGCGTTATTCTCCTTACCGTCCAGATCCAATGCTGCCTTATCTTTAAATTAGGCTATTAGTATTATTTGAAGTTAACATTATAAAATACGTAGACCTACACCACAAAACTAGTTGAGGATAAATTATTTAAAATTGGGGAAGTCCAGCATTATGGACATGACATTTGCAGTCAAAACTTGAAATAAAAATTCTCCGAAAATTCATGTATTGAAACGTATAATAGGCTACTTCCTTAAAGGACTCCAGACATTAGACAAATATCAGTCTATGTTTTATTTTTAATATTAGGGAAAAGACACACATTCATGCGTGACAAAAAAATAGGAGGTAAAATATATTTTTTGTAATTCTGTTAATTACACTGCGCAAATCGGATGAGGAAGGGTTGGCTCTCCAGTCTCCATAGAACTTAAAATATTCATTTTATTTTAGTTTTCGTGTTCGCATTTATGAGGAAAAAACAATGTTACAGACGCGACCGCTCTGAACTGGCACTAAAAGACTGCTTTAAAACTTTTACATAGTCTGTTGCCTTTAAGAAGTAAAAGCAGACATTACACTGTAATACAACTGTAATACAAGCCTCACTGAACATGTAACGAGTAAAATATTACTGAAAATTGATTAGTAATGCCTTACACTACTGCGTTACAGCAAAAAGTAATATGTTACAGTAATGTATTGTAATGCGTTACTCCCAACACTGGTAATAAAGAGTATAAATTCTCTATAAAATCACATCTTGGTAAGATGTGTACAAACACTTGGATCTTTAGATATTCCAGTAAGCTAAAAACCAAATCTTTTATTTAAAGCTACACTGTGTGATTTTTACCCCCATCTAGTGGTGAAAAGGTATATGACCATCCAGTGAATATTAGTTTCCGATTTTGTTTTAACTCCTACGGTGGCCAATGTAGTCCAAGATTAACATGGCTTCCAGTTCGACCTCGTCCATGAGTGTTAACTCAAACGTAAACGCGAAAGGCGAAGCTTGAATTAACGGGTATGTCCCTCTTTGGCTAATGTACTTTCAAGATGGAGGGGCAACATGGCGACCGACATTAGTATTTTCAATGGCATATTATACACTCACGAGAATACTTTAGAACTTGAACGAAGTAAATATTAATTAATGAGGACATATATTTTTGAAAGAACTAAGTGTTTTTAGCTAAGAATAAACTAAAAGAGTTACACAGTGTAGCTTTAAATGTATAAAAAAAAACTCCAGTCATCACCAGCGCGCAATGAATAAGCTGCGAAGGATCCACTCGTTCTCTCGTTTGCGGCCCAGGGAAAGAAGAAAGCGCTTTTAGGCCGTATTTGAAGCAGCCTTTAAATTGGGACAGCTTTTGTGCGTGTGTCACAGTCCTCCGTCTGCACCAGTCTGTCTTGTCTTCAGCACTACACTTCCCAGGATCCTCTCGTCACCCTATCCCGTGGTCACTCCCTCATCAGCCACCTGTTCCTCGTCATCGTCATCTGTTTCACCTGTTCTCACCCCATTATGTTTGATTATTCTGTGTATTTAGTTTCCTCTGTGTTACTCAATGGTTGTCGGTCGATGTTGAATGTTACCTCTGTGAAACCCCGTCCTCCTGCCTGTATGTGGAAAATAAATACGTTTCTTTGGTTATCTGGATTCCTCCCGCTCATTCTGTCTGCACTCCTGTTCTCCTGCACCATACCCCGTGACAGATCGACCGACCTCTAAAGAAAGCCGAGCATTATGGACCTTCCAGCGGTACGCCTCCTCTGTCTGCACCAGGAAGACCGCTCCCTGGAGTCCCATACCAGGGACTTTCTGGAGTTGGCGTGCCTCACTCACTATTCGGACCAATCGCTGTGTGTTTTCTACATCGCCGGCCTCAGCGAGCGGTCCCGGGCACGCCTCCCAGGGAGCGGTCCAGAAGATAATTTCCTCGCCTGTGTGGAGTGGGTGCGGGCGTGCTGTGGATCCCCATTCTCCGTGGGGGAAGTCACCAGCACCACTCCAAAACCTGAGCCCTCATCTTCACTGCTCACCGTCAGCCCTGCCGAGCCTGCGCTCACCGTCAGCCCTGCCGAGCCTGCGCTCACCGACAGCCCTGCCGAGCCTGCGCTCACCGTCAGCCCTGCCGAGCCTGCGCTCACCGTCAGCCCTGCCGAGCCTGCGCTCACCGTCAGCCCTGCCGAGCCTGCGCTCACCGTCAGCCCTGCCGAGCCTGCGCTCACCGTCAGCCCTGTCGAGCCTGCGCTCACAGTCAGCCCTGCCGAGCCTGCGCTCACAGTCAGCCCTGCCGAGCCCGAGTCTTCACCGCTGGTTCCGTCCAGCTCTCCAGAGATTGAATGCTCTTCACCGCTGGTTCCGTCCAGCTCTTCAGAGATTGAATGCTCTTCTCCGCTGGTTCCGTCCAGCTCTCCAGAGACTAAATGCTCTTCCCCGCTGGTTCCGTCCAGCTCTCCAGAGATTGAATGCTCTTCGCCGCTGGTTCCGTCCAGCTCTCCAGAGATTGAATGCTCTTCACCGCTGGTTCCGTCCAGCTCTCCAGAGATTGATTGCTCTTCACCGCTGGTTCCGTCCAGCTCTCCAGAGTTTGAATGCTCTTCCCCGCTGGTTCCGTCCAGCTCTCCAGAGATTGTATGCTCGTCACCGCTGGTTCCGTCCAGCCATCCAGAGACTGTATGCTCGCCACTGCTGGTTCCGTCCAGCTTTCCAGAGACTGTAAGCTCTTCACTGCTGGTTCCGTCCAGCGCTCCAGAGACTAAATGTTCTTCACCGCTGGTTCCGTCCAGCTCTCCAGAGATTGAATGCTCTTCACCGCTGGTTCCATCCAGCTCTCCAGAGTTTGAATGCTCTTCCCCGCTGGTTCCGTCCAGCTCTCCAGAGACTTTATGCTCGTCACAGCTGGTTCCGTCCAGCTCACCAGAGAATGAATGCTCTTCACTGCTGGTTCCGTCCAGATCACCAGAGAATGGATGCTCTTCACTGCTGGTTCCGTCCAGCCCACCAGAGACTGAATGCTCTTCACTGCTGGTTCCGTCCAGCTCACCAGAGACTGGATGCTCTTCACTGCTGGTTCCGTCCAGCTCACCAGAGAATGAATGCTCTTCACTGCTGGTTCCGTCCAGATCACCAGAGAATGAATGCTCTTCACTGCTGGTTCCGTCCACTCACCAGAGAATGAATGCTCTTCACTGCTGGTTCCGTCCAGCCCTCCAGAGACAGTATGCTCTTCACTGCTGGTTCCGTCCAGCCCTCTAGAGACTGTATGCTCTTCACTGCTGGTTCCGTCCAGCCCTCTAGAGACTGTATGCTCGTCACTGCTGGTTCCGTCCAGCTTTCCAGAGACTGTAAGCTCTTCACTGCTGGTTCCGTCCAGCTCTCCAGAGACTAAATGTTCTTCACCGCTGGTTCCGTCCAGCTCTCCAGAGATTGAATGCTCTTCACCGCTGGTTCCGTCCAGCTCTCCAGAGTTTGAATGCTCTTCCCCGCTGGTTCCGTCCAGCTCTCCAGAGATGGTATGCTCTTCACCGCTGGTTCCGTCCAGCTCTCCAGAGACTTTATGCTCGTCACTGCTGGTTCCGTCCAGCTCACCAGAGAATGAATGCTCGTCACTGCTGGTTCCGTCCAGATCACCAGAGAATGAATGCTCTTCACTGCTGGTTCCGTCCAGCCCACCAGAGACTGAATGCTCTTCACTGCTGGTTCCGTCCAGCTCACCAGAGACTGAATGCTCTTCACTGCTGGTTCCGTCCAGATCACCAGAGAATGAATGCTCTTCACTGCTGGTTCCGTCCCACTCACCAGAGAATGAATGCTCTTCACTGCTGGTTCCGTCCAGCCCTCCAGAGACAGTATGCTCTTCACTGCTGGTTCCGTCCAGCCCTCTAAAGACTGTATGCTCTTCACTGCTGGTTCCGTCCAGCCCTCCAGAGAATGAATGCTCTTCACTGCTGGTTCCGTCCCACTCACCAGAGGATGAATGCTCTTCACTGCTGGTTCCGCCCAGCCCTCCAGAGAATGAATGCTCTTCACTGCTGGTTCCGTCCCACTCACCAGAGAATGAATGCTCTGCACTGCTGGTTCCGTCCCACTCACCAGAGAATGAATGCTCTTCACTGCTGGTTCCGTCCAGCCCTCCAAAGACAGTATGCTCTTCACTGCTGGTTCCGTCCAGCCCTCTAACGACTGTATGCTCTTCACTGCTGGTTCCGTCCAGCCCTCCAGAGAATGAATGCTCTTCACTGCTGGTTCCGTCCCACTCACCAGAGAATGAATGCTCGTCACTGCTGGTTTCGCCCAACCCTCCAGAGAATGCATGCTCTTCACTGCTGGTTCCGTCCCTCTCACCAGAGAATGAATGCTCTTCACTGCTGGTTCCGTCCCACTCACCAGAGAATGAATGCTCTTCACTGCTGGTTCCGTCCAGCCCTCCAGAGACAGTATGCTCTTCACTGCTGGTTCCGTCCAGCCCTCTAAAGACTGTATGCTCTTCACTGCTGGTTCCGTCCAGCCCTCCAGAGAATGAATGCTCTTCACTGCTGGTTCCGTCCAGCTCTCCAGAGACTGAATGCTCTTCACTGCTGGTTCCGTCCAGCCATCCAGAGACTGAACGCTCTTCACTGCTGGTTCCGTCCAGCTCTCCAGAGACCGAATGCTCTTCACTGCTGGTTCCGTCCAGCCATCCAGAGACTGAACGCTCTTCACTACTGATTCCGTCCAGCCATCCAGAGACTGAATGCTCTTCACTGCTGGTTCCGTCCAGCTCTCCAGAGACTGTATGCTCAGCACTGCTGGTTCCGTCCAGCCATCCAGAGACTGAACGCTCTTCACTACTGGTTCCGTCCAGCCATCCAGAGACTGTATGCTCTTCACTGCTGGTTCCGTCCAGCTCACCAGAGACTGTATGCTCAGCACTGCTGGTTCCGTCCAGCCATCCAGAGACTGATCGCTCGTCACTGCTGGTTCCGTCCAGCTCACCAGAGACTGTATGCTCAGCACTGCTGGTTCCGTCCAGCCATCCAGAGACTGAACGCTCTTCACTACTGGTTCCGTCCAGCCATCCAGAGACTGTATGCTCTTCACTGCTGGTTCCGTCCAGCTCACCAGAGACTGTATGCTCAGCACTGCTGGTTCCGTCCAGCCATCCAGAGACTGAACGCTCTTCACTACTGGTTCCGTCCAGCCATCCAGAGACTGTATGCTCTTCACTGCTGGTTCCGTCCAGCTCACCAGAGACTGTATGCTCTTCACTGCTGGTTCCGTCCAGCTCTCCAGAGACTGTATGCTCAGCACTGCTGGTTCCGTCCAGCCATCCAGAGACTGAACGCTCTTCACTACTGGTTCCGTCCAGCCATCCAGAGACTGTATGCTCATCACTGCTGGTTCCGCCCAGCCCTCCAGAGACTGATCGCTCGTCACTGCTGGTTCCGTCCAGTTCCTCCAAGCCCGAGCTCTCTTCTTCGCTGGGCCCGACCAGCCCAGCCCCAGAGACCGTCCAGCCAGCGCCAGAGACCGCTCAGCCTGTTCCGCCCTGGCCACGCCCTCAGCCTGCTCCGCCCTGGCCACACCCTCAGCCTGCTTCGCCCTGGTCTCGCCCTCAGCCTGCTCCGCCCTGGCCACACCCTCAGCCTGCTTCGCCCTGGTCTCGCCCTCAGCCTGCTCCGCCCTGGCCACACCCTCAGCCTGCTTCGCCCTGGCCACGCCATCAGCCTGCTCCGCCCTGGCCATGCCCTCAGCCTGTTCCGCCCTGGCCACGCCCTCAGCCTGCTCCGCCCTGGCCACACCCTCAGTCTGCTCCGCCCTGGCCACGCCCTCAGCCTGTTCCGCCCTGGCCACGCCCTCAGCCTGCTCCGCCCTGGCCACGTCCTCAGCCTGCTCCGCCCTGGCCACGCCCTCAGCCTGCTCCGCCCTGGCCACGCCCCTCTCAGGCCCCAGTTCGTCCCCCCTCCTTCCTCTGTTCCGCGGCGTGAGGTCACGCCTCCCGGGAGGGGGGAGTTCTGTCACAGTCCTCCGTCTGCACCAGTCTGTCTTGTCTTCAGCACTACACTTCCCAGGATCCTCTCGTCACCCTATCCCGTGGTCACTCCCTCATCAGCCACCTGTTCCTCGTCATCGTCATCTGTTTCACCTGTTCTCACCCCATTATGTTTGATTATTCTGTGTATTTAGTTTCCTCTGTGTTACTCAATGGTTGTCGGTCGATGTTGAATGTTACCTCTGTGAAACCCCGTCCTCCTGCCTGTATGTGGAAAATAAATACGTTTCTTTGGTTATCTGGATTCCTCCCGCTCATTCTGTCTGCACTCCTGTTCTCCTGCACCATACCCCGTGACAGCGTGCATTAGGGCTTTTAAGGATGCAGCCTCTGATTTTAAACACAGTAAAAATGTCCAAACCCTCTATTATCCTTCAGAATTTATGTTGTGTCATAGTTCATGTTAATCAACCAGTTATTTGCTTTCAGCAGAGCACTTCAGAACTCAATTAAAGTCTCACTGTAGCTGAGCTGCGGAGCTAAACCTTTCATTTCTGGCTTGCTTCTGTGATGTCAGCAGCTGCTTCACTTTCACATGGGAGCTTGGTGTGTAAAGCTGTTGAAATGATGTTTTATAGAGGGCCCGCTGGAGTCAAGAGCAGAGGAGAATGAAGACCAGCCCCTGCCTGTTGTGGAAGTGGCGAGCGGTATGGACCTCCAAACACGGCTGGCTCTTGTGATTGAAATGCTTTGCCCGAATGCCCTTTTGTGACTTCGTTTTTGTGGATGCTCTTATGCCTTGCAACCTAATGCTTTTCTAAAACTTTTCTAGAGTTTTGTTATATTTTAAGCCTGCTGGTTTGGCTTCCGTTTAAATTTGGCATACTGGTAACAGGACCTCTCGCCTTTTCTTGCTTTGAAAATCTTTTTTTTTTTTTTTTGATGTTGCGTTTACAATGCACTGATTTTTAAAAGTGTAAGATGATATGTATGTCAGTGAGGACACACATATTCATTTTGATAGCACTGCAGGGGCATACTGATGTAAATCAAAATAAACTCAAGGGAGACTCCCGTCCTGTTTATTTCCCATGTGATTAGTCACAGAGACCTCCGCTCAGCTGTCTTTGACACGCTAGGTGTGATGTTATGCCAAGACTGGAATTAATGCCTGTGCCAAAAAGGATTTTAGCTAAAGCTCTTTTTTCCACAGGTCACAAAGCTTTAAATTGCAAGTATTTGTTGCTTTTGTGTGTAATTTGATGGTGTGCTTTCATGCTAGGTAATAGTGTTTGCCTTGCCATCCATCGGATGAGACAAACCGAGTTGAACATAGTTCACATTTAGGCCCTTTTAACACCTGGTATCAAGATGCGTTTCAGTCGATAGGATCACAAGAGGACGACGCTAAATACAGGTGTAAACGGGGCAGTGTTGTAGTCGAGACCACCTCACTCGAGTCCGAGTCAAGACCGAGTCCATAGAGAGTCGAGTCCGAGACCAGAGATGGTCGAGTCCGAGTCGAGACCAGTGAGGGTTGATTACCTAATTTACTTTTATTTACTTCGAGAAATCCTTTTTTTATTTTACTGAATTTACTTAGAGTTTAAAAAATATGATCAGTTTAGGGTAAAAAGGCCACATAGTAGGTGGTGTTAAAAGTAATTTTATTACAATTTGTCATGCGCAGTTGCGCACTAGAAAATCACCAATCACTGGGCGTGTCAATCAATTTAAAGAAATATTTTATTAACATACATTAATAATCATGAAAAATATTTTTAATTGAACTCGAGTGGACTCGGGAATAAGTCCGAGTCCTAAAAAAAAAATTTTTCGAGTACGAGTCAATTCCGAGTCCAAATGCACACGAGTCCATGACAAGACCAAGACCATTAAAATATGGTCTCGAGACCGAGTCCGAGACGAGTCCGAGTCCCGAGTACTACAACACTGAAACGGGGTATAAAAAGTTTTGAGCTTGTCCACTTTCGACCACTTTGCGAGAGGTAGTTAAAAAACGCATTTGACCAGATTGCTTGTGTAGTGTACAGGTAGATGCTCATGCGATCAAATGTGTTTGAACAGCCACTAAAGGTCATCGACTGACCTAATGCGTCAACATTATGGGACGCGCTCTAGTAAGACGGGATTTTAACGTTGTCGGCTGAAGACCCAATTTTGGTTTGAAGATGAAAAACGTACCACGAACAATATTCTCTCACCATTCCTGATTTCTAACACACACTCACAGCGTTCGGCTGGTCTTGCGGCTGCCAGAGCAGAAACAACAGCTCTTTGTATGTTTTTCCGTCGTCCTCGGGCACGTTCATATGTTAATTAGTCAAGTATATTTATATAGGGCTTTTCACAATATAGATTGCATCAAAGCAGTTTCACAGTATCAATCAAAATATAATAACAATGTTCGTTTCTTAGTGATCAAGGGTATTACTTATTGGTTAATTCATTTGAATATCCCCAACTGAGCAAGCCAAAGGCAACAGTGCCAAGGAACCGAAAAACCCCATCAAGTGACCCGATGGAGAAAAAAAAAACCTTGGGAGAACCCAGGTTCCAGTTCTCCTCTGGCGTTTATGAACTAGAGGCCGGATTTACAGTAACTGTAAGGTAAAAATGTATGTGAATGTCTCTAAACAGACTTTAAATGCCAACCTGTGATAAACGCTGATGGCGTTCACATGCACATTTAGAATTGGTTTAGAATTAGGTAGAGGTAGACCGATTAATCGGCTGATTTTTGGCATTTTTTAAGTACTTTTTCCAAGTATATCAAGCCGATTATTAGGCAGGCGCATCTGTGGGCAGCCTAAGGTTGTCGTGGAACACGTGTTTGACGCGCACTGCCGCTTGAGTCGTTTTCCAGCCGAGTGAGCAGCAGACCTAAATATGAAAGGCTAAAAAATCTGAAGGTCCAACAGCGGGATGTCGTTGTCTGAAGAACAACAGACGGACGGTGCGTTGTGGTGCGTTCTTAAAGTTTTTGTAAAATATCATTTTCCCATCTGGTGGTTGTTTTTGTCGTTCAACAGCAATTTACTAGTGAAATACGTCATTGTTAGAAGTTAAATTAAATTAAATATAATAAATCTTATATATAAAAAATAGGGCTGTCAAAACGATTAATCGCGATTAATCGCATCCAAAATAAAAGTTTCTGTTTACATAATATATGTGGGGGCACTGTGTATAATTATTTTGTATATATATATATATATATATATATATATATATATAAAACACACATGCATGTATATTTAAGAAAAATATATTATTTATATATAAAATATTTATATATAATATAAATTATATATAAATCTATATACAGAATATACACGAAAATATTTCTTAAATATATACAAGCATGTGTGTGTATTTATATATATATAATAATTATACACTGTACACCCACATATATTATGTAAACACAAACTTTTATTTTGGATGCGATTAATCGCGATTAATCGTTTTGACAGCCCTAATAAAAAATGTAATCATTTAAAGTTTTTTTTCTCCTTTTTTGTGTGATAATTAGGTTATGTCGATTTGTCTTTGTCAACAAACAAAACAAACCAAAAATACATGTTTCAGGATGTTAAGTTAAGGATCTATGTTAAGTAATTATCATTTTTTTTTCACATTTTATCTTTCAAATAGAGGTTAAAAACCAAGAAAATATCGGTCAAAATAAATCGGCAGCATTAATCTGCCATCGGCCGACCCGGATTTCAAAAGATCGGCATCGGCGTGAAAAAAACCATATCGGTCGACCTCTAGAATTAGGTTTCTAATTCCCTACAAAACCATGCCTGAACAAACTACTTGTCTTGTCTATAAATTTGATACAGAATTTTGTTTTATTTTATCTCTTCGGGGTAGGGACGCGAAACAATTTCACAACGCTTTATCTGTAGTGTGGGAAAGGGATCCTCCATAGGGAGAGGCTAGTTGGCACTTCAGCATTGTCATCGTCATCGGGTCCAAAATAATAAAAGGTCCTCGTCAGATCTGAATACGGTCTGGGTTCTGCAGGAAAACCTCGGGATAAACAAAGACACTCAAATTAGCGTAGACGCCATTCTTCTTATGATTTAACGAGAACACCGGGATTGAAGGGAAGTGTTCCCAGTTCCGGCTGACCTAATCTATGCAGTCCAACATTTAATTATAGAAGTCTATAATGTATTATGTGTATGCTAGGGGTCTTTAATCGAGCTTTGACAGAGTGTGTCTGCTTCCCGGACAATGATAGGAAGACTATTCCACAATTTTGGGGCTAAATTACATAGCTTAGGAAAGAAGTGGTTGAAAGTAAACAAAAGAGACAGATGTAAACACCAGGTGTAAATGGGTACGTGTCTGCCTCGTCTACTTGTGATCCGATCGACCAAAACACATCATACCAGGTGAAAACAGGGCCTAAAAATCTCATGGCACTACTTGGAAACGAGTTGGGATGTAACCCCGCTGTCCTGGCCACATTCCCTCCATTGGCCCTTATCAGTCCCCATGTGTGTGTGTTGAGCAGTGGTCCAGGTGGATGCTGCACACTGGTGAACCCCTGATATGATTGTAAAGCGCTTATACTGTATAGGAAATGTGCTATACCTCATTCATTCATCCCTCCAGCTGAAATTGCCAGATATTATGCTGTACAATTCTCTAATTTTTGTCTTTTATGTTTTTCTCTCTGTTTGCCGCATTTCCTGACCATTATTAAGCTGGAGGAACGGCGCCCACAGGTAAAACACTATTTTTTCTTATTGTACCACATTAGTGTCATGCTTTGTAGAATAGCCATTATGCTACATTAATAATGATCTAGTAAATTTCTTTTTTTTATTAAAAATATATTTTTAAATATTACAGTTTGTTTTTTTTCTGTCGTGTTTTGGTACTACTTCACCTCACTGATCATTTTCTTGTACTGGTTGTTTGGTTTTTTGTGAATACACAGATGTGTCCATTTTATTTTATTTGAATAATCAGGAGCAACTAGGTACTTCTAAAGAGCAGACGCAAATGTGCAAACGCTGGCACTGTTTATCAAGTAACATTTGCTCAACCAGTGTTCGGGAAGCCGAATTCGTTTAAATCCATTTTTTGTTCTACCCTTGTAAAGGAAATACACTTGTAGTGTACCTAAATCTAATAATTAATCATTAATTTATACAAATCAACTTGCAGATATTCTAATAAGGAATAAAATGTGCATTTTGTAATAATGTCAATTTAAAAGTGTTATTTATGTTTTAATCATCTTTTGTTGTGCTTTAAACGTCTTGATTCACATGCTAAAACACATGGAAACTTCTTTATTATAAATTTAACTGTGGTTTGATATTTGATATTATGTTTAAAGTTATTGTATTTTAAATGTTCTAAATTGCGACTGAATCATTACAGATGTGTGATAACACAAATATTGAAATGCATGACACCATTTTCAATAGAAAAGAAACTTTAAAGTATATTTTAGTTTACCATAAATGCTTGTCAGTACATTCGGCAGCGCACTTGAACCATATTTCAAAGATAACAGAAGTAATTATGAAATCACTTATAAACATTGACTTAAGTCTCACTTAAGTCAATAAAGCACTCTTAAAGGTATAGTTCACTTTGAAATAAATTTTTGGTATGTTTTAGCTTACCTCAAGGGCATCCAAGAAGTAGGTGTCTTTGTTTCCGCAGTAGTTTCAATTTTGACATTTTTAGGTCAAACCGTTCTTGTCTGTCAGTCATATAATGGAGGTCTATGGTCACCACCTCAAAGAGCATGCACAGAGAAGTCCAAATTAAACATGATTTAATGACTCGTAAATGTAAGGACACATTGACAGCCTAAGACACGAAACGAGCATTTTGTGGCTGTTGTTACCTCTTGTAGTTACCTCATTTATACGTGGCTGTGGATACAAGAGGTAAAAACGATATAAATACTGTTCGTTTTCTCACACAAACCGCTCGTTTCGTGTCTTAGGCCATCAATGTGTACTTACATTTACGAGTCATTAAATCATGTTTAATTTGGACTTCTCCGTGCATGCTCTTAGAGGTGGTGACCATAGACTTGCATTATATGACTGACAGACAAGAACGGTTTGAACTAAAAATATCAAAATTGAAACTACTGTGGAAACAAAGACACCTACATCTTGGATGCCCTTGAGGTAAGATAAAACATACCAACAATTAATTTCAAAGTTGCTTTTATAATAAATTTAAACTATAATAGATTTTCATTTAATTACAACCGCATTTGTTCTGGTTTCACAGACAGGGTTTAGATTAAGCCAGGATTAGGCCTTAGTTCAATTAGGACATTTAAGTTCATTTTTAAAAAGAATTGAGACAAAACATTCAGATATGGCAGTGCAAGTCACTTTCAGTTAGACCAGCTCAAACATGTGTTTTAGTCTGGGACTAGCCTTAAGCCTTGTTTGTGAAACCAGGGAATTATAATATATGACAATAAAAAGGGAACATTGAAGGATTTTACTTTTCAAACTATGCTCAAGTGTACTTTCACAAGGGTAGTGGCCCAGGAATGACATCCTTCTCCTCCAGTTTTATATATGAAGAGTTCAGATGCAAAAGCCTCTAAATGCCATTTGAAATTTTCTTCTAAAATGACCATTTTTATCAAGCTTATATATTTAAGTTCAGTAATTTCACTTAAATGACAATTAATAGGTAATCTTCATTGCCATTTAAGTGAAATTACTGAACTTAAATATACAAGCTCGATAAAAATGATCATTTTAGAAGAAAATTTCAAATGGCACTTAGAGGCTTTTGGATCTGAACTCTTCATATATATATTAAAAAAAAAAAACTTTTGCAAGCAATCATGCTCTTCAGTTGTACCTATCGGCTCATATTTCTGTGTTCAGTGTGAAGTCCGGTTTCATCACCGCTGTTTGTTTTGTGTGTTAGCAAAGGCCAGCAAACCAGTCGTTATCTTTCCTCTACGGGTTTTTATTCTCCTTAACATGTGACAGTTTTCTTGGAGCTTTTTAGAGAAGGAAAAGTAATGGAGAAGTTGTCATTGCTTTCTATAAAAGTGACATCTGACCAGTCTGTGTCCATGGTGAACGGGACATCCATTATCATTAGCGCAAGTATAAGGCGAAGGCGGCTTTGTTTCCAGCTTTAGCAGCAGAATTTTCGTCCGATGGTTTCGATCAACACTCGGACCGGAGCTGTGTCGACCACCCGAGAATACAAGAGCGGGACGAAGACCTCCTCAGAAGCAGCTGGGCTGAACAACCAGTCCATTCCCATCATCGGCGGACATCTGTCAGTCCGGACCGCGCCAGGAGCCTTTCTCTGGAGAACGAGCCACCTGAGACTTTCCTGGTTCGCAGTTCCGCCCTGGAGGACCTGACATCCGTCGGGGAGAGGATCGTGGAAGCCACGGCTGCTTACAGTGAGACCCTTCAGGAAGAGGAAGAACTGTCCCTTTACGACAACGAGAGCCGTGCCGAAGAAACAGAGCTTCCGGCGTGGGCCAGCAGGCCTCGGACAACTGCACCTTCTGAAACCAAAGAACGTAGTTTTACAAGCACTTTACCTCATGGACACATGGACACAATGGCCGCAGTGGAGGAGAACGTTGATGCTACGTTATCAGAGGTTAGAGTCGCCGCCGAAGATGGCTCTCCAAAAGGTGTCCACGGCTCCCCGGCAAGAAAATCCCTGGTGCCGGTGGCTCAGTTTAAAGGTCTGTGCTGTTAAGCTCACAGAATCCCAGTGCAGTGCCTCTTCCTTGGTTTGCCTCCACCTATGTTTTTCAGAGCCGCTTATGCACCACTTTCTCTCTATAACGAACATCCTACAAAATAAGCGGCGGGCTGAGGAGAACGGTCTGTTGTCCTGCAATTGTTTGCTACACGTCGTCCTTTTTTCCGGGCAGTCAGCCTCACTCTGTCATTCTTTTGTTTCCTCTGGCTGGTCCTTTACTGCGCTGATTGATGAAATCCATGTTTGCTGGCCGTGTTTCAGTGTGGCATGTCTGTGTGCATGAGTGTGTTTGCATGTGTTCACGACACCATCATCTGGTGCAGCACTGCTTTAACAGATCCCCTCACTTTTATTTACAGCCTTACCTTTCTCAAATGTTTCTTTGGAACATAAATTATACATTTAGCAAACTGCAGGCATTTCCACACTGTTGGCATAGTTGCACCGAGTCTGAAATTCGCATCCGAAATTTTCGCACGTTAAAAAAAAAATTCGACCTCACGAGGACGGGAGCTCGTCCTCAAATCATTGCACATATGCGCCGTGCTTTCAGTTTCGGTTTTCAATTCGATCAAGTGTTTATGTTCTCTTCTCTATATTGGATTATGAAATTAATAAACCTCCCCTTTCAATCAGATTGAAATTTAGGATCGAATAAGGTGTGATTGAGCAGCCTATTCGATAACTAATGTATTATTTGGGCACAAACACAGCTGTTCTGTCTGCCCAGCGCTTCCACCTGGCCGCACATTTTGGTATGTTTTAGCTTACCTGAAGGGCATCGAAGATGTAGGTGTCTTTGTTTCCGCAGTAGTTTCAATTTTGATATTTCTAGGGCAAACCGTTCTTGTCTGTCAGTCATATAATGGAGGTCTATGGTCACCACCTCAAAGAGCATGCACAGAGAAGTCCAAATTAAACATGATTTAATGACTCGTAAATGTAAGCACACACTGATGGCCTAAGACACGAAACGAGCGGCTTGTGTGAGAAAACGAACAGTATTTATATCGTTTTTACCTCTTGTAACCACAGCCACGTCCAAGTACTCTGAGGGCACGGGCGCTTCTGTCTGCACAAGCGAGATTTCAGAAGTGTTGCCCTTCACTGTGAAGATCTAAACATATTTAGATATACAGGAAATCGCAATGGAAGACGATTTCGATATATCAACAGACAACGTTGATGCGCAGACCGAAGCGCCCGTGCCCTCAGATCACTTGGACGTGGCTGTGGTTACAATAGGTAAAAGCGATATAAATACTGTTTGTTTTTTCCACACAAACCGCTCGTTTCGTGTCTTAGGCAATCAATGTGTACTTACATTTACGAGTCATTAAATCATGTTTAATTTGGACTTCTCCGTACATGCTCTTAGAGGTGGTGACCATAGACCTCCTTATTATATGAATTTTGAAAAATATCAAAATTGAAAATACTGTGGAAACAAAGACACCTACATCTTGGATGCTCTTGAGGTAAGCTAAAACATACCAAAATTAATTTCAAAGTCAACTATCTCTTTAAAAAAATTAAAATTGAAATGTTTAGCGTCATTTGAATCGTCAAACTCTAAATCAAAATCCATTGCGTTTCAAGTCTCCGGTGTTCCAAATTAGCCTCTTGTGAGGTTTAATAATGGTTAGAATTGCTTAATTTCAGAGTCCAGTTGTTGTTTTTTTCAATTTTCGAGTTCATTCATATTGATATATTGATTGTATTCACATTGGTGCATTTTTTTGGTTCTTTACAGCTCAGTCCAAGACCAATGGTGATGCTGAGAAGAGGGTGAGTGCCAATAGCTATTTTGCATTATTCTTTTGTTCTCCTCCACTTTCATGTTCTTGCTTTTTATTTTGCTCATTTGTACACCATGGCGTTTTCATCCACTACTGTTTTGCTCTCTATATAAAGACCAAAGTCAGACCCTCCTCCCATAAAACACCTTCCTCCCTCCCAAAAAAGTCCTTGGCCTCCTCTAGTAGATCTCCCTCAGTGCCTGCCCCCAGTGCTGGGCTCAGAGAACCCAGGCCAAGAGTGAGTACAGCAGCCGATGTCCTGCCGCTTCTGTGGAGTACTGGCAGTCTGCCCACTGTCTGGTGTGATTAACAGTGTCTGACTGCATCTGACTGACAAGCATCTCATTCGCACAAATATTCTTTAGCACTTGACATCTGGAAAGGCAACTGAAAATAGTCAGCATTGTTTTAGACTTAAACTTAAACTTCAGCTGCTGCAAAGTTGTTGTGTTCTCTATGTTTGAGCAGGCAAACATGTCATAAGTGCCTCTTTAACTTTGATTGGCTCTTTGGACTCGTAGTTCCTTTTATTTGTCTACTAACAATGTCTAACAATGGGCGTACATGTATCACTGGAGAATTTTGTTATTTTTGGTATTTCTGAACCATCATTTGATGTCATGGTTATATTTTACACATTTTTGGAATAAAAATAACTAACTCTTAAAATTATCATATTAATGCTAATGTTATATAGCATTTGAATCCACATTTAAAAAAAATATATATTTGGATATATATCACTTTTTGGATTTGAGAACAAAATATTACCAAAGTGTAATTAAAAAAATGTCATAAAACAAAAAAAAACAAAAAATGAAGGGAAAAAAAAATGAATCTGTTATTTTTAATTTTATAAAAGCAGGAAATATAAGGGTCATAACAGATACATGTATAGACATTAGAAGTTGTTTTGTTATCCATAATTTCATGGAATCTAATTAATAATGTGTTTCTCTCTATCTTTCTTTCTTTCTTTCTCTTTCTTTTCTGTAAATCTCTAGGCTCCTAGTAGCAGTAGACCTCATGCTGCTGGTACAAAGATCCCTGCCATGACTGCAGTTGCCAAAAATGGAAAAGGTAAGTAAGAGTTTTTATAAATGTTTCATATACAGCAGTGGCCAAACGTGATGTCCAGAGGAGATATTTGCCCAATATTAGCTTTTAATGACACTTTCAAAATATGAGAAAATTGTGATATTGGAAAGAAGAATACCCTAAACCTGATTAAGGTTTCAAAATGACAAAATTATGTGGCAAGAAAGGCAAACTTCAGCATAAATATGAGTTTTGCATAAATATGCAAAAAACAAAAGCTCAGGAAATAAAGCATACGTTAACTACAATGAAATCAGTTATAAATATTTAGTTGGTTCTCCCTTGTTTTTTTTATTGCAGCATAGACTAAACATAGCACGTGTCGGAAGACATGCGTGACTGGTTATAATGTCACAAAGGGTTTCAGGTCAGGGGACTGAGGAGGCCACTTGAAGACTTCAAAATGCTGAGCATGAACACTAGGGTTGTGCCGATAGACGATAGTATCGTGTATCGACGATAGTCTGAGTTATCGCCGATGGCAGATGCCTTTGACGATATCAATACGATAATTGGCTCGTTTTACCATAATGTATTAAATTATTATTACTAGGCCTATTATTATTATTATAAAGCTAGTATTGTTATTATATTAATATTAGGAACTACAATTGATTTGCCTTGCCTAAATTTACAACGACATCACCTCATAACAATTGCAACGACACCGACACGCACTAATGAGGACTCCTCTAAGAGAATGATTTTTAAAACAGACTAAAAAACATCCCACATCAAAATTTAATTGCAAGGTGATCCATTCACAAATTATCAAGTGTGCTTGTTTTAACAGACGCATAATTTAATTTCCGACAGATCCAAGGTGAAAACGGCATCGTTGTTTGTCAGTATGTTTCCGTAACACATTAACAAAACGTTTAATGACACTAACACTAAAAACAATACAATTATTAAATAGTATTAATAATAATATCACTAAAATAGTATTATAGTTACCGTTATCATCGTCGTCTCTGAGGGAACGCGGCGTTAATGCAGATGGCGAAAGCAGTCCGTTTTTACTTTCAGTTTCAGAGATTGAGCGCGTTTACATGCGACGACATTCTTAACCCGATTATGTTGAATAAACTTGACAATGCATGTGGTCATGTAAACGCATTAACCCGTTTTCCTTTATCAGAGTCAAGTCATAAGTATAAGTATAAACCGATCGACTCAGCTAGACGTTTGGCCCTTGCTCTGGTTTCTCCCGGCATTTAAAACACATTAACCCGCGTACTTCGTGCTTACTGAAGTGCGCATGTGAAGTGCATCCAAACAGAGAGCGCACTGGTAGGGGGACACATATCGCAAACTCCGACTCTTTCTGACCCAAGAAATTATTAAAACGTGTTTTCATCTCGTGCTGAAATATGCCCTAGTCAAAATGCTGCATGTAACGGCATGAGGATAGGCTAATGTGTCCGTAAATTTCCCGTTGACAAACAAAAGGATTAGGATCTTTTTTTTTTCTTACCTCACTATACCAGGAAATAACCTGATCCTATTAATAAACACTCCACCTTTGCTAGCAAAATAGAAAAAAAGATTCTTGTATATAAAACGAAGTAGGCTAATAAAACAAGCAAAATAATGAGTAGGCTACTTTATCAAGTTAATAATCAAATAAGTAAGCCCCGCCCCCTCACGATAATATCGTGTATCGCCGATCTCACAGGCTGACGAAAGGACGATATGAAAATGGAGCATATCGCCCAACACTAATGAACACTCATTGCGTGCAAATTTGTTTCATACGCTATGTGTTTGGAATTGTTATCATATTGGAAAATACACAAAACAGATCCGACATGATGTTCAGCAAGTATCGGCCCATTTTCAAAGTGCCAGCAAATTTGTCAAATAAATATATGTAAATATTTAGTTGAATAAAGAGCGAAGACGGCATTTTCCCTCGGTCGGATATCACTGTTGGCCACTACTGTATATTGTTCTTCATCATGAAATAATTGTCATCGTTATCATAACACTGTACTGTTTCCCAGACTCTCCAAAGACCCCGGAGACCAGTGGGCACAACAGCCCTGGCATTTCCAAATCCCCTGCCAGTAAAGCTGCGGGTGGCAAACCTCCAAGCACAGGAAATGAAATCAAGAAGGTCGCAGTGATTCGCTCGACCCCTAAATCCCCGAAGAACCGTTCTCCTACATCACTGTCCACCGCCGCCCCTCTCCCTGACCTGAAGAACGTGAAGCCAAAAGTCGGTTCCACCGACAACCTGAAGCACCAGCCTGGAGGCGGACGGGTAATTCATCTTGATTCACTTCAATGTTCAGTTTGCAGTTGGGTTTCAGTTTATATATATATATATATAGACTGACTCACCTAAAGGTTTATTAGGAACACTTGTTCAATTTCTCGTTAATGCAAGTATCTGATCAACCAATCACATGGCAGTTGCTTCAATGTATTTAGGGGTGTGGTCCTGCTCAAGACAATCTCCTGAACTCCAAACTGAATGTCAGAATGGGAAAGAAAGGTGATTTAAGCAATTTTGAGCGTGGCATGGGCCGGTTTGAGTATTTCACAATCTGCTCAGTTACTGGCATTTTCACGCACAACCATTTCTAGGGTTTACAAAGAATGGTGTGGAAAGGGAAAACATCCAGTATGCGGCAGTCCTGTGGGCCAAAATGCCTTGTTGATGCGAGAGGTCAGAGGAGAATGGGCCGACTGATTCAAGCTGATAGAAGAGCAACTTTGACTGAAATAACCACTCGTTACAACCGAGGTATGCAGCAAAGCATTTGTGAACCCACAACACGCACAATCTTGAGGCGGATGGACTACAACAGCAGAAGACCCCACCGGGTACCACTCATCTCCACTACAAATAGGAAAAAGAGGCGACAATTTGCAAGAGCTCACCAAAATTGGACAGTTAAACACTGGAAAAATGTTGCCTGGTCTGATGAGTCTCGATTTCTGTTGAGACATTCAGAGTCAGAATTTGGCGTAAACAGAATGAGAACATGGATCCATCATGCCTTGTTCCCACTGTGCAGGCTGGTGGTGGTGGTGTAATGGTGTGCGGGATGTTTTCTTGGCACACTTTAGGCCCCTTAGTGCCAATTGGGCATAGTTTAAATGCCACGGCCTACCTGAGCATTGTTTCTGACCATGTCCATCCCTTTATGGCCACCATGTCCCCATCCTCTGATGGCTACTTCCAGCAGGATAATGCACCATGTCACAAAGCTCGAATCATTTCAAATTGGTTTCTTGAACATGACAATGTGTTGACTGTACTAAAATGGCCCCCACAGTCACCAGATCTCAACCCAATAGAGCATCTTTGGGATGTGGTGGAATGAATGGATGTGCATCCCACAAATCTCCATCAACTGCAAGATGCTATCCTATCAATACGGGCCAACATTTCTAAAGAATGCTTTCAGCACCTTGTTGAATCAATGCCACGTAGAATTAAGGCGGTTCTGAAGGCGAAAGGGGGGCAAACACAGTATTATGGTGTTCATAATAATCCTTTGAGTGTATATATCATATATTTTTGCACTGTGGAAACATTTCCGCCAACTTCAACTTAAAAAAGTAAAAGGTGTCTACTTGCATTATATTAAACTGTTGAATATGCATAATATATTGTATAAATTAGGATGAGTTAAAATAACTTCATCATATAGTTTTTCTACAGTGTGGTCAAAAAATAAGTGTGTATGAGAAAGACAATTAACATACATTAACATCGCCATATTCAATAACATGCTAAAACTATTCCAAAAATTGTCATGATTGAAACTGTTTTATATGTAGTCGCAAAATCACTGAATATAAAAATATATTACGATGTTGTCTTTGCATATTGTTTCAATCTCATCAGCTAATGAAAATTCACCTGTTTTTATTACTCAAACATCTCTCTCTTCCCTACAACAATAGTTTTGAAGTCAACTCATCCAATGATCTGTCTTTCACAGGTACAAATTCTCGATCAGAAGGTGGACTTCAGTAATGTCCAGTCAAAGTGTGGCTCCAAAGCCAACCTCAAGCATACGCCAGGAGGTGGCAATGTGAGTAACTGCAGGATGATTCGAACACACGCGGTTTATTCCTTCATTTATGATCACCAAACAGTATTCGTCAGTGGCTGTCCCAACATTATCAGTCAATCATGGAAGCTTGTTAAGTCTTTTAATGGTTACATTTTCCAAGAATGGTAACTATCCAGTTGTCCGAACAAACTACAATGCATGCCGTTCCATTTATGCTTCATGAGAATCGGGGAACATTTAGCATTTGATGTTGTCGTTCATGAAAACTTGCTTTAAACAGGTACAAATTCTTAATCAGAGGTTGGACTTTTGTAATGTCCCTTCTAAGTGTGGCTCCAAAGACAATATCAAACACACACCTGGAGGTGGCAATGTGAGTTACTATGTGATCCAGACCCGGTTCACTCCTTAATGTACCATTCCTTACCAAAAAACACTATAACAACCTGCTCCTTTTCCAACTAATGGAAAGAACTCCCAACCAGCCCTTACTGACTCCTGATGCTCCTGAAATGTTCCTCATGACGTTAGAAACACTGTATGACTTCAGATCTCTGCACTCTTCTAGGTAAAAATTCTTGATCAGAAGGTGGACTTCAGTAATGTCCAGTCAAAGTGTGGCTCCAAAGACAATGTGAAACATGTACCTGGAGGTGGCAATGTGAGTAACTATAGGATGAACTCAATGCCCTCTGTCTTGGTTCTTCCTGAAGTTATGACCATTTGTGAAAGCAATCTCGTTCAATTTAGTAGACCTGTCTGTTACACAGTCACTTATAGACTGATAATTAACTGAAAAAGAGGGTCTTTACTACTGTTGAGTTGATTGTTCATTCAAAAGTGTGAGGGAGACAAAGCCATCGTAGTGAAGTCATGTTCTATCTGTACCATTCAGAAACTCATGGCTCTTCCTCTATAGCAGTTCTTTCTACCTCTGAGATAAATAGCAACATAACTCCTGCTATTCGCCAAATGTATAATTTTCCAGGTTAAAATACAGGATCAGAAGGTGGACTTCAGTAATGTCCAGTCAAAGTGTGGCTCCAAAGACAATTTGAAACATGTACCAGGTGGTGGCAATGTAAGTAACTATGGGTTGAACACAACACCCTTTAGTCTTGGTTCTTCCTGAAGTTATTTTCATTTGTGGAAACCTTGGGATTAACAATTTGGACACCCCGTCACAAAGTCATGCCTTTCCTATGTTAGTTCCCCTGGTTGCTCTCTGGGTTCCTCTGTGGTCCTGAGCTAAAAGGACGGATAACTCCCTGTCTTCCCCAAACTGTTCACTCTTTCAGGTGCAAATTCTCGATCAGAAGTTGGACTTAAGTTGTGTGCAGCCTAGGTGTGGTTCCAAAGATAATATCAAACATGTACCCGGAGGTGGAAAAGTGAGTAAACAGGGGACCGTTTTTGTTGTCTTAACCAAAAATCCTACTAAAGAGACTTTAAAGGGAGGGATAGTATACTTAGAAATTCATTTTGGTATGTTTTAGTTTACCTCAAGGGCATCCAAGATGTAGGTGTCTTTGTTTCCGCAGTAGTTTCAATTTTGATATATTTAGGCCAATATAATGGAGGTCTATGGTCACCACCTCAAAGAGCAAGCACAGAGAAGTCCAAATTACAAATTACACTTTGATGGCCTAAGACACAAAACGAGCAGTTTGTGTAAGAAAACGAACAGTATTTATATCGTTTTTACCTCTTGTAACCACAGCCACGTCCAAGTGATCTGAGAGCGCAGGCGCTTTGTGGCTGTGGTTACAAAAACGATATAAACACTGTTAGTTTTCTCACACAAACCGCTCGTTTCGTGTCTTAGGCCATCAATGTGTACTTACATTCACGAGTCTTTCAATCATGTTTAATTTGGACTTCTCTGTGCATGCTCTTTGAGGTGGTGACCATAGACCTCCATTATATGACTGACAGACAAGAACGGTTTGACCTAAAAATATCAAAATTGAAAATACTGTGGAAACAAAGACACCTACATCTTGGATGCCCTTGAGGTAAGCTAAAACTATCCCTTTAAAACTAGGGATGCACTGAAATTACAATGCTGGCCGATACTAATAACTTGATTATAATATCTGATAACCAATAAATGTTAAAACGGTATGTTAAAAGTGAAGTCTCAAAATCATAATGTACAATATAAAAGATGGATATTTATTTTGAGAGAGTGTTACTTGTAGTGAGCATTAATTAAAGCCCAGGACTTTTAAATTCTGTCATTAATTACTCTCCCTCATGTTGATCCAAACCCATAAGACTTTCCTTTATCTTCAGAAGACAAATTAAGATCTTTTTGACGAAATCCAAGACATTTCTGTCCGTCCACTGACAGCTACACAACTGCCACCTTCAAGCCCCAGAAAGCAGACGTTGGGGTGTGAACATGTGTTCATATTTTGTAAATAAAGTGGTAAATTATGTTTGTTTTTTTGTGCATACTTCATAAAACTGAGGCTAACCACTGGAGTCACATGGATTACTTTAACCCTTGTGCTGCATTCGATTTTTAACACCGTTGAGTGCATTAAGGACCAAAAATGGCCACATATTAAACATTGCCTAAAATATTATATATTATTATTATTTTCCACTTTTACCAAGTTAAATCTTTTAACCAGCATCAGTCCTCATCATAACTACCAAAAATGTATTCAATTTCAGGATTTTAACCCTTTAATTACCAGTTTTGTTTGCGAAACCATCGATTTGTATAAGAGGAAAAAACACAAAAATTCAATTATTTTCAATAAACTAAATGCAAAGAGAAAACTTTAGATTTGGATTATCACAGTCCCACTTTGCAAAAAATCCCACTTAGCGCGTTAGAGACCAAAAATGGCCACCTATTAAACATTGCCTATTGCCTAAAATAAGGTGCATTTCCACCCATAGGGAATAAATATGTAGTGACGTCATCTGGTGGAATACACTATATAATGCAAATATAATGCTTTTGCTTCAAAATGAAAGGATGTTTGTGCAAAAATCATGTTTCATGTATTACTGACAGCCTCAGATTTAAACAACGTTTTAATGGGTTTCAATGGGCCATTTTTGGTCTTTATGGTGCTGAGTGTTACTATTTGATCTACACAGTGTGTGTTATACATATTTTGCAAAATGGGATCACATTTTTTACATGTATCCAAAAAGTCACAATTTTGCCAAATTTCATACCATTTGCATTAAAACAGCCAAAATGGTCAAAGAAATTAAACTGCAAAAGACCAAAAATGTCCCTAATGCAGCATAAGGGTTAATGATGTCTCTGAGGCTTGAAAGTGGTGGTTGTGAAGACTTGTCAATGGAGGAACAGAAAATCTCAGGTTCACTAAAAATATATTCATTTGTGTTCTGAAGATGAACATGTTCATGTTCACACAACTACTTGAAAGTCTTTGGGGTTTGGATCGACATGAGGGTGAGTAACAGATTTGTCATTTTTGGGTGAAATAAACGAAACTATTTTTGGGATAATCTGAAAAAGTAAAAATATGGGAAATGAATATTCATAATGAAATAGTCAGAGCACTGATCTATTGTGTTTCCCTATTTTAAATGAATCCATGGTAAATACTGGTTTGTTTCTTGGCTTTGACTGTATGACGACTCACCCTCTAACTCTCATAAACAGGAATGTTTGCAATTTGCATGCACTAATTTTTGTAAATCAGAATGAATCCAATCTGATTTCAGAGTCTGTAATCTTTATTTTATACAAACCCTAAATGTTGCAATCCGATTCATATATTTGATTACATGTGCATTACATTTATTTCCAAAAAAGCGCTCAGAACCAAAGAAAGCCACCGCAATACAATGTCAATGGAGTGCGTTGTCGGTTTTGCCTTGATGACATATCTAACAAAGCTGACATTTATGTGAGAAAAGCTTTTTCTGCAATTATATAGTAAATATTCAGTCTCATTCCACTGAATGCAAGTCAACGTACTTATAATCTCGGCACATAAATGCACATTTGTGTGACGTAAAACATATTTAAAGGAGTAGTTCACTTTTCAAAAAACGTTTGCTGATAATTTACTCACCCCCAATGTCATCCAAGATGTCCATGTCTTTCTTTCTTCAGTCGAATAGAAATTAAAGTTTTTGATGAAAACATTCTAGTATTTTTCTCCATATAGTGGACTTCAATGGGAACCAAACGGTTCAAGGTCCAAAAGACACTTTCAGTGCAAACTGTTCAAAGGGCTTTAAACGATTCCAGACGATGAATAAGGGTCTTATCAAGCGAAACGATCGGTAAGCTCAAATGCTCACCTTGCTCTGTTCTGTGACGAGCGTTCGTGACTCTCCTGTTCAAACTCGTTTATCAAAATGAACAAATCTTTTTCCGAGTCAATTCGTTCGTTTCGTTTTTTTGAATGAACCAAATGAAGTGGAAAAAGATTCATTCATTTTGATGAACGAGTTCGAACAGGAGAGTAACAAACGCGCATTACAGAACAGAGCAAGGCGACCATTTGAGCTTATAAAACTTAAACTTTGTTATTTATTTATTAAATGAGCGATCGTTTCACTTGATAAGACCCTTATTCATCGTCTGGAATCGTTTAAAGCCCTTTGAACAGTTTGCACTGAAACTGTCTTTTGGACCTTGAACCGTTTGGTTCCCATTGAAGTCCATTATATGGAGAAAAATCCTGGAATGTTTTCATCAAAAACCTTAATTTCTTTTCGAATGACATGGACATCTTGGATGACATGGGGGTGAGTAAATTATCAGCAAAAGTTTTTTTTTTTTTAAAGTGAACTACTCCTTTAATCCGGTTGAGAAAATAGTCGGATTTAATAGTTTACATGCTTTCTTTTCTTCATTTACATGTAACTCAGAAGAATATACATGCTGTTTTGTGGCATTGACATTTCCTGCAAGACCTGTTAAAAACAGACACTTTCCTTACTTCAATAAAGTTAAGCATGTCATAAACAATTCTCCATATAATTAGAAGACTTTGATTTTTGACTTTTAGGAAAACCTCTTTCCTTACAAAAACAGATGACCACCGCTGAAATCCTAACCCTTAATGCCAACCGGCTTGTCATTACACTTCTTAAAGTACCAGCGAGAGATCCTTATGCACTGGAGGGGATTTGCACAGAGGGGTCTTGTTTAGCGCTCTGGTCAGGAGAGCTGGTCTTTGTGGTGAGCAGTTGGCTCCAGCTATAAGTTGACCTCACTCTGAAGACACTGAGGCCTTTTTACACAGAAAAACCCCCAACAGCTGTGGCTATGAGGTCATTGCGTCTATTTTTGGAGCAGGAATGGTACACGATTGTACCGTTCTCATGTTGTGTCTTAAAATGAAAAGCATTGAAGAACATATCTTTTTAGAACTGGTGACCAACTAGATAATTAATGTTGTGGTTCATCATACTTACATCGCTATAAATACATGGCGCAGTGGATAAGACACATGCCTTTGGTGTGAGAGACCCGGGTTCGAATCCACTGTGAGACATCAATGTGTCCCTGAGCAAGTTGCTCCAGAGGCGTGCGACCTCTGACATAAACAGCAATTGTAAGTCGCTTTGGATAAAAGCGTCAGCTAAATGTAAATACAAATTGGTTTTAAAAATTCTCAGAGACTAATCCACCAAGAGGCTTTTGCATTGAAGGAACTTAAAAGTTTACTGACTAACTGCACTTTAGCACCTGTCTGCCATTTTCTCAAGCTTTTTCTCTTTCTCATGTAAATGGGAGTGTGTTTGGATTTTTTTATTATGAATTTAGAACTTTATAAATGACTATAATTGTTTTTTTGTTTTGAAAAGGTCCAAATCCTCCACAAAAAGATCGACCTGAGCAATGTGCAGTCAAAGTGCGGATCGAAAGACAACCTGCGCCACAAACCAGGTAACCGTAGACGTCCACTTTGGATTTTAAATGTCTCCGACAATCGAAGCTCAAGCTTTGGACTCAGTTTTCTCAGCATTTTGAATGCATGTACATTGGAGTCATGAGGAATTTCACCTGCCTTTTCAAGGTGGAGGAAACATTGAGATCAGGTCTGAGAAGCTTGAATTCAAGGCTCAGTCAAAGATTGGATCTCTGGACAACATTAAACACGTGGCTGGAGGAGGCAGCAGGAGGGTAAGACCACATGTCCTCCACTGATGGGAAACGATACTCAATCTATTCATTAGATAATCTACACAATCTACACACCCTAAAGTTAAATATATAAATCCTTATCATTTTACAACCATGTCTGTGTAAGTCTGTCTAAGGTGGTCTCTGGGTTTGAATCATTCAGTTCTTTAGATGGCTTAAAGAACGTTTTAAAGGAGTAGTTCACTTTTAAAAAAAACTTTTGCTGATAATTTACTCACCCCCATGTCATCCAAGATGTCTTTCTTTGTTCAGTCGAAAAGAAATTAAGGTTTTGGATGAAAACATACCAGGATTTTTCTCCATATAATGCACTTCATTGGGAACCAAACGGCTCATGGTCCAAAAGCAGCTTCAAAAGGCTTTAGACGAGTCCAGACGATGAATAAGGGTCTTATCAAGCGAAACGATCGGCCATTTCAAAAATAAATAAAAAAAGTTTAAGTTTTATTAGCACAAATGCTCGCCTTGCTCTGTTCTGTGATGAGCGTTCGTGACTCTCCTGTTCAAACTCCTGTTCGAAATCTTTTTTCGAGTCATTAGACCCTTCTTCATCGTCTGGTGTCCTTTAAAGCCCTTTGAAGCTGCAATGAAACTGTCTTTCGGACCTTGAACCGTTTGGTTCCCATTGAAGTCCATTATATGGAGAAAAATCCTGTAAAGTTTTCATCAACAATCTTAATTTCTTTTCGACTGAAGAAAGAATGACATGGACATCTTGGATGACATGGGGGTGAGTGAATTATCTAATCCTTTAACTCCTTTAAATTCTCATCTCATTGGCCTTTGTTTTGATTCCATGAGCATCAGGATTTAAAGTGTTTTGCTTTTACTTGTCTCTGCGTATTAAACTGTGTTCAAATAAAACTGATAAAATTGTATACATATAAAAATGTATTTGAAGAGAATACATGACATACTTCATCTTTAATTTATTTACATTTGTGTTACCATCGTTTTCCTTTTTGTTGAACCCATATCATTTTGTGTTTCTTTCTGTTTTGGTTGACCATGGTGTTCATTTCACCTCTCATTGGCCACCCTGGGGTCCGTCTCTAGAGAGAGAAGGGGAGAGGGGCAGATACGCCCCAAGATGAGGGCTTCCTCACCCCAGACCCCTCTGATACCCCCACCCTCTCATCTGCCAGTATGTCCCCCGAGCCCATCCTCCTCAGCAACCCCCAGATAAAGATTGAGGACTCCAGTAAGTATTCAAAGAGAGGCTATCCGCATTAAATTAGCCGTCACTGTACTCTCATATATTTTTATAATATAATTTTTGGAGAGTGCTCAAACATGGGGACACATTACTATTAATAGGAATTGGCCACCCTAAAATTAAATTTACCCACCCTGGTGTTGTTCTAATGCCGTTCTTTCTTTTTCAGACCACAAAAAAGAGATTTTTTTAAATGTCCCGCTCACACTCATCTAATCGTAGTCAATGGTGAACAGCATCAAGATTTTTTATTTTTTTTTAATCTGCAAAGTAGGCTGTCCAATATGATATGGAAAGATTTGGGTATATAGGTGCTGCTGATGAGAAGTTTGGACTGTAGTGTTTTAAAACAATCAAATAATCACTTGATAAATCCATTTGCAAATAAAAAACTACTTAGTGAACTAATATGCTGATTGGGGTAGATGGATAAGTAATCAACAAAGATAAAATATTTCAAACAAATGAATAAAAAATAATTTGCCTATTGCTTATGATAAGCTTGCACAAGTTTCTTGTGAAATGCATCTTGGGTGCCATCTCCTGGCACAGAGTGATGGGAAATCAACTGTACAAATGAGCAACTGACCAACAAATGATATATTTATTTTAAGAAGATTTAAAAATTAACAAAAATTTCAAAAACAAAAATTTTGTTTAAATTATCTTTATATTTATATAGAAACTTATCTCAAAAAGTTTTTATTGACTTATTTTCTCATGCTTTTTTATGCGGCTTTATCCCTTTTAACATCATCTTACGTTTTTTTTTTTTTGTTTGAAAAATTTCTTATTTATACATTGATCATTTGAGCATGTTATTATTTAGCATTTTGAGGGTACACAACAACTATTTCTGATTTTATAACATCCCTGCCCTGCAGCTTAATGGCCACTAGAGAGCAACAGTGATGTCAAATGATGGAATGGCTCTCAGAATACAGGATTTAGATTACTATTTACTAGGAGTTTCCAGTACAGAATGGTCCTGGATGCCTATGCATGGTTACATGGGTGTTTTCACTCGAGAACTGTTTTAATCCATATCCAAGAATCTCAGTTCCCTATGGAAGCTTGTTTCCGCCACAGAATGAAAAATAAAAAAGGTAATTGCAACTTTCTGTCTCACAATTCTGACTATTTTTCTCACAATTGCGAGTTTACATCTCGCAATTCTGACTTTATTTCTCAGAATTGCGAGATATAAAGACAGAATTGTGTGATATAAAGTCAGAATTGCGAGATATAAAGTCAGAATTGCGTGTTATAAAGTCAGAATTGCGAGATATAAAGTCAGAATTGCGAGATATTAAGTCGCAATTGCGTGTTATAAAGTCAGAATTGCGAGATATAAAGTCAGAATTGCGAGATATAAAGTCAGAATTGCAAGATATAGTCAGAATTGCGTGATATAAAGTCGCAATTTCGTGTTATAAAGTCAGAATTGCGAGATATAAAGCCACAATTTCGTGTTATAAAGTCAGAATTGCGAGATATAGTTGCTATTGCGTGATATAAAGTTAGAATTGCGAGATATAAAGTCAGAATTGCGAGATATAAAGTCGCAATTGCGAGATATAAAGTCGCAATTGCGTGTTATAAAGTCAGAATTGCGAGATATAAAGTCAGAATTGCGTGATATAAAGTCGCAATTTCGTGTTATAAAGTCAGAATTGCGAGATATAGTCGCAATTGCGTGTTATAGTCAGAATTGCAAGATATAAAGTCAGAATTGCGTGTTATAAAGTCAGAATTGCGAGATATAGTCGCTATTGCGTGATATAAAGTTAGAATTGCGAGATATAAAGTCAGAATTGCGAGATATAGTCAGAATTGCGAGATATAGTCGCAATTGCGTGTTATAGTCAGAATTGCGAGATATAAAGTCAGAATTGTGAGATATAAAGTAGGAATTGCAAGATATAAAGTCAGAATTGCGTGTTATAAAGTCAGAATTGCGAGATATAGTCAGAATTGCAAGATATAGTCGCAATTGCGTGTTATAGTCAGAATTGCGTGTTATAAAGTCAGAATTGCGAGATATAAAGTCAGAATTGCGAGATATAAAGTCAGAATTGCGAGATATGAAGTCGCAATTGCGTGTTATAGTCAGAATTGCGAGATATAAAGTCAGAATTGCGAGATATAAAGCCACAATTTCGTGTTATAAAGTCAGAATTGCGAGATATAGTTGCTATTGCGTGATATAAAGTTAGAATTGCGAGATATAAAGTCAGAATTGCGAGATATAAAGTCAGAATTGCGTGATATAAAGTCGCAATTTCGTGTTATAAAGTCAGAATTGCGAGATATAGTCGCAATTGCGTGTTATAGTCAGAATTGCGAGATATAAAGTCAGAATTGCAAGATATAAAGTCAGAATTGCGTGTTATAAAGTCAGAATTGCGAGATATAGTCGCTATTGCGTGATATAAAGTTAGAATTGCAAGATATAAAGTCAGAATTGTGAGATATAGTCGCAATTGCGTGTTATAGTCAGAATTGCGAGATATTAAGTCAGAATTGCGAGATATAAAGTCAGAATTGAGAGATAAAAAGTTAGAATTGCGAGATATAAAGTCAGACTCAGAATTGCGAGATATAAAGTCAGAATTGCGAGATATAGTCAGAATTGCAAGATATAAAGTCAGAATTGCAAGATATAAAGTCAGAATTGCGAGATATGAAGTCGCAATTGCGAGATATAAAGTCAGAATTACGAGATATAAAGTCAAAATTGCGAGATATAAAGTCAGAATTGCGAGATATGAAGTCACAATTGCGAGATATAAAGTCAGAATTGCAAGATATGAAGTCAAAATTGCGAGATATAAAGTCAGAATTGTGAGATATGAAGTCAGAATTGCGAGATATAAAGTCAGAATTGCAAGATATAAAGTCAGAATTGCGAGATATGAAGTCACAATTGCGTGTTATAAAGTCAGAATTGCAAGATATAAAGTCAGAATTGCGAGATATGAAGTCACAATTGCGTGTTATAAAGTCAGAATTGCGTGTTGTAAAGTCACAATTGTGAGATACAGTATAAACTATTCTGAGGGGGAAAATTTAGTTTTTTTTCCCCCTTAGAATTGGCCTGATAACTCGCAAATGCGAATTTTTATCTCACAATTCTGAGAAAAAATCTTGTCAGAATTTCAAGATATAAACTCGCAATTATGTTATAAAGTCAGAATTGCGAGATGTACTCACAATTGTGAAAAAAAGTCAGAATTGTGAGATAAAAAGTCGCAATTCTCTTTTTTTCCTCACAATCACGACTATTTTTCAGAATCGCGACTTTATATTTCGCAATTGCGACTTTGTATCTCGCAATTCTGACTTTATATCATTATTTTTTATTCGGTGGTGGAAACAAGCTTCCATATGTCCCCTCTGAACCAATATCCAGTTCACCTCAGGCATTTCATTTGCTCTCGTTTGTTTTCATAAATTTCCTTTCCCCAGATTGAGTCGCACAAACTGTTGTTCCGTGAGCAGGCCAAAGCGCGAACCGACCATGGCGCAGAAATCGTGTCTCTAGACGAGTCTCCACACGGCCTGAGCACCGTCTCCTCTTCGGGCAGCCTCAACATGGCAGACCCGCCGCAGCTCTCCACCCTCGCCGACCAGGTGTCTGCATCGCTGGCCAAGCAGGGCTTGTGATTGGACCATACTACCACCCAGCCACGCCCCCAAACCCCACCCCAGAAATCAGAACACACACTTTCACCTGCCTGGTGGTACTCTAACCTCTCTCTGAAAGTCATTTTGTGGCCCAGAAAACAACGCCAAGTAACGTTTGGCAATCACTGTTCGATTTTGTAAGACTTCAGATTTGTTATAGGCCAATGAAGCTGTTTTAACTGTGAATTGTGTATGAATTTGCCTGTTCACTCGTCCTTTGCTTTAAAGCAGGGAACTTAACAATTGGGAATTTTTTGCAGTAGCCCTCCCTTGACTATATTTAGCAGCACAAAATTGCGTTCATGTGTTTGAATGCCTTTTGTTGACCATTTTAGATTTCCTCTAGGCATGCCTGGTGTTTGGTTAGTTCAGACAGAACCCATTTTTCACTTTCAGAGAGGATTGTTCTCATTTTTGAATCAGGATCAAATTAGATGGAGATTATGAATAAGTCGCTTAGCAGTGCTTAAAATAAAAATTAGAGCCCTGAATCTTGACTTTGAGATTGAATGAAGCTTAAAGCCCCACAGTCCATTTCTGAAATGATTTGCACGGCTTACGTGAAGAACAACAGGTTTTTCGTTTTGCTGTCGGTCAGAGATTACACTTGCTGCAGTGAACCGTGTTCGTCATAAACTTTCTTACAGTATTATTCTGCGGATATGAGATATTTAAGATATGGAAACATGTTTTTTTGTGTGCCTACAGGCAGTCTTAAATTATTGATTTGAATTATGTCAGTGCTTCTTTGAAAATGCCTCTCCTACTTTTTTTTGTTTGTTTTGTTTTTTTTGGGAACTAACATAACGTTTAACTCGCATTTATATTTTTAACATATGCATAAAATATCTTCAAATTGTAGCTACGCGTTTACAGCGGTTTTGGACATTTTTATTGGTACCGCTTTACATTTAGATTCACGGTTTTAGCATTTATTAATGCAGTAGCCATCATGAAACAAAAATGAACAATGCTACTACAGCATTTATTAATATAGGTAAATACACATTTATAACCTTCATTTATGACAATAAACAATAATAAATGAACCTAGATTAAAAAATTGTTCTTTGTTGTTCGAGTCATAATGCATTATTAACTGATGTTATTGCAAAGTGTTAATTAATGGCAGGTTGCAGGTGAGGGACATTATTTGAAATCTCTTGTGGAAAAACACAACCTATGCATCTGTAATTTTTTCCCATAATACTGCCAACAGTTCCTCTTTTTTCCTGCCATGACATCCAGCTCTAGCGGAGTTATCATTTTTTAGATGAATTGCCAAAACGTATTGTAAATTTGCCCACTGCACTGATGACATCTTCACGAAAACCATCACCTGAGCACAAGCATGCCGTTACACAATGCTCTGTGAACACATCCTCCACTTCCTCTTCTTTAGAGCTGTAAAATATGAAGTCAAGGTATTCTATTCAACTGAATGATGATGTAATGACCTTAACCAGTCATACGGCTTAAATGAAATCGCAGAATGTTTTAATGAGCTTTGAACCACTCCACGCTATCTTTGCTCCTTGCATGCGTTTCATGTAAGCAGCCTGAGATTGCCTCTACTTTTGCGTGTATCCCATAATCGCTGATGTGCTTATTAGGAATCTATGTAGATATAGTGGAAAAGAGCACTACTCGGACGACGACCCCTGTTTCTTTGTGTTGGAGAGGGAGCTGTGTAACTACCATTAGATATTTAATGTATGTTAACTGTATGTTTATGACTGTATGTTTATGAGGAAAAGAAAAAAAAAATAATAAGCAGAGAAGTTCAGAGACCACGCCTGCAACACTTTAAACCTGCATGCTGAGTTTTTACATGGATTGGCGACACGTTTTCTAACTAGGGTGTTTTTTGGAAAGGTCGGCAGAGCTTGGATATGGGATAAGGTGTTTTGTTTCGCTTGTGATGTTGTGTTGAGGGGGGAAGTGAGTGTGTAGAAGACAGAAGAGGGAAAGAAAGTCTGTCCTTTGGTTTAAATGTCTCACTATAGCATCTGCAACATGGTTTTGGGCGCAGTTTTGCTATCCTGTTGTCATTGACTCCATACACCATTTTTGCGGTTGTATATTTTAGCTTGGGAATTGTGGTTGTCAATATTGTTTGTGTGTTTTATTAATAACTGGTTTACAACTATTCTTGTTGATGTACATGTGAATTTGGAAATAAATGATATTAAGCAAATGTCGACTTTTTTATTATGCTTTTTATTACTACTTAAAAAAACGTATATGATATACTAATAAATACGCATGGTGTCGCTGTGTTCATCAGAGCACATTGTTCCAAAAAAGTACAGTAGCACCTCATTGCAGTACACGAGATCCAGGGGGCGGAGTTGGATCCAGATATAAGGGGCGAAGATGGGTAGGTTTAGGGGTGAGGTTAGGGATCACAGGGAGGAGATGGGTAGAATTAGGGGTGGGGTTAGGGACCAGGGGGCGGAGATGGGTAGGTTTAGGGGTGGGGTTAGGGATCAGGGGCGGAGATGGGTAGGATTAGGGGTGGGGTTAGGGATCACAGGGAGGAGATGGGTAGAATTAGGGGTGGGGTTAGGGACCAGGGGGCGGAGATGGGTAGGTTTAGGGGTGGGGTTAGGGATCACAGGGAGGAGATGGGTAGAATTAGGGGTCGGGTTAGGGACCAGGGGGCAGAGATGGTTAGGTTTAGGGGTGGGGTTAGGGATCACAGGGTGGAGATGGGTAGGATTAGGGGTCGGGTTAGGGATCAGGGGGTGGAGATGGGTAGGCTGGGTTAGAATCCTCCCCCTGGATTTTGTGTTCTGCAGTGAGGACCATCTAACAAAGTAGGCAAAAAAAGTTAAATAGACATTATTTTTGTGGGGAAGCTTATTTAATTTTACAACAGTGTCAGTTCATATAAGACTTTCTCAGAGTATAAATGGATCCGTTTACATGAAAAGCATTTTATATTTTAGAAACATTAGTCTATATTTGGGGTTAGAAAACTAATTTTAGGCTACTGTTGCCTTAAAGGAACACTCCGACTTTTTGGGACTTTAGCCTATTCACCTTACCCCCCAGAGTTAGATAAGTCCATAGACTCCATACCTTTTTCATCTCCGTGCGTGCTATAAGTCTGTTTGACGCACCCACCGCTAGCCTAGCTTAGCACAAAGACTGGATGTGAATGGTTGCAGCTTTCATACTAATCCAAATGAGTGGCAAAATAACGCAAACGTTTTCCTATTTACATGTTGTGGTTTGTATAGTCACAGACTAGTGTGCAAATATCAAGGCCATATGAGACACAGACATCTTTTAACCGTATAAATACTATATTTTCTGAAGGCGAAGCACTGCTACTTGGGCAGAGTGATAACAATCACCTGAGACGCACCGTGACGAGGAGCAGAGAGTTCGCTCAGTGTTGGAGTAAAGAGTCAGCAATTACTAACGTTAGATAGAAAAGCATAGTTTATCATGGGTGTTTGCTTTATTGTATGAGCTGTGTGACAATAAACAGGTAATACAGTACCATGTTTCATTGATTTCCAAACAAAAACGCACCCAGATTTATAAATATCACATGAATAAATAATTATTATTACAGGAATCAATATATTTTAAATGCAATTTATTAGCTGAACCAAATGTATTCAACAGTATATAATATACAGTAAAATCGCATTACTATAGGATAGAATAAGGGGAAAGTAATAGCACAAATTGTTTTTGCACAATGAACTCACAGCCTATCGTACCCTTTTGCACGCTCAAGTTCGTTATTTCCATGGTTATTTCAAATTTAGGCTACTAGGCGCGCAGCGCGCAGGGTGCAAGTTCAACGCGGTGAACGCGCTCGTTTTTTCCCAAGCGCGTCCGCACCGCATCAAGATAAAAACATATTCATACCCTAATCATATAATAGTGTCACTAACGTTACATTAGCTCTGGCTAGTGGCACTGTTACAGTAGGTCATCTAAAAACATAACGGAACACTTACCTCAGCCGCAGGTGATCCACTTGTCCTGTCTGTGCTATCGATGGGATAGCCGTATCCTTCAGCACATTATGGTCCGTGTGGCAAATTTTCCAAAATAGTCGTTCCATTTTTTCAAAATAGTCGTCCATTGAAATGTACCGAGCAAACATAATGTCCCTTAATCTATAAGGTGTGTTTGGATCAATATCCAGAGTAAGTTAGCCATTTCTTCATCCAGTCAGCGTTTTTAGTTGGAATTCTGTGAAACATGGTATTACCTCCCCTGTTTACTGTCGCAGCTATTTACAATAGAGCGAAAACCCATGACTCTAAACTACGCTTTTACTATTTATAAATTGCTGACTCTGTTACCCAAACACTAAGCGAACTTTCCGCTCCTCACCACGGCGTGTCTCCGCCGGTGATGCGGTTATTACTCCGTCAAAGTAACGTTAGCAGTGCTTCGCCTTCAGAGAATAGTTCCCAGGTTTTATACGGTTAGCAAGATGTCTGTGACTCATTTGTACATTCTGTGACTATACAAATCACAACATGTAAATAGGAAAACGTTTGCGTTATTTTGTCACTCATTTGGAGTATGAAAGCTGCAACCAGTCACGTCGAGTCTTTGTGCTAAGCTAGGCTAGCGGTGGGTGCGTCAAACAGACTTATAGCACACACGGTGATGAAAAAGGTATGTATATGGACTTATCTAACTCTGGGGGGTAAGGTGAATAGGCTAAAGTCCCAAAAAGTCGGAGTGTTCCTTTAAAAGCTCAAAATCTTGTCAGATATCAGTTTTCAGTAAATGAGCAGATTGATAACTCATTTAACAATTAATTAATACTTGATCATGTCCTTGTCAGAAAGTCAAAAGATGTCCCATGTTCCTGTCTTATCAAAGGGATTTCAGGACAGTAGTCCTTCATAATAATTTTTGCAAACACTCAGGTCTGGCTCCATACTCCTTTGTAAGTTAACAAATTGTAACCCCTTCATGATCAAATCAACTCCTGAGGGATAAAATCAAGTCCTGCCTCATTTCCTCATTAAGTTGGCTTGGGAAAGCCAACTTACTGAAATGCTATTTAAACTTATTATTAGTGGTGCTTGCTGAAAGCAAGGCAACACTATTACTATTGTGTTTTTTGAGTCGGCCCAAAAGTTTGGCACGCTACTCCTCCCGCAGTTTTTGTCACACACCCATGAATGAGGTCTCAAAACGTGCGGAATATTCGGGAATGGTGTGCTATGACTTTTCTAAGCGATCGGGGGTACGATGTTCGCCCGAAGGGCGAACAAATTTCCCAAAAATCCCATAGACTTAACATTGCGACAAACTTTGACGACTCATAGCTCCGAGCGAGGATTTCACAGAAGCCTGCGATTTACCACATTTGAAGAGGCTGACAGGCTCTGTAAGAACATACCTCACAATGGGGTAAAAGTTGCACCCCTGGGGGGCAGGAGCTGCCCAAATTTTCCCCCATTGACCCCAATGTTATTTAAAATTTCTAGTATAACATTATACTATTCCAGGAAAAAGTTTGGCGCACTCCTACGTCCACAGTTTTTGTCACAGACCCATGAATGAGGCATCAAATCGTGCGGCCTATTGAAGAGAAGTGTCCTATCACTTTTATCAGAGATCGGGGGTACGGTGTTCGACCCAGGGGTGAACAAATTTCCAAAAAATCCCATAGACTTAACATTGAGACAAACTTTGACGACTCATAGCTCCGAACAACGATTTTGGAAAAACGTGTGATTTGCCACATTTGAAGAGGCTGGCAGCCTCTGTAAGATTATACCTCACAATGGGGTAAAAGTTGCACCCCTGGGGGGCAGGAGCTACCCAAAATTTTCCCCATTGACTTACTATGGTGAAGGATGTCCCATCAAATGCATGTGTTTTTCCTACTATGGTAAATTGCATAGGGATTTTGTATTGAACATAGCTCTGGATCATAGTGTCATAGAGACAAGGGGGCGGGCTCATTTTACTCAGACGACCAATCAGTCTCTCAGGATCATTGTGAAGCTATCAAGCCACGCCCTAGCAACCATATGGAGCACCTTAGCAACAACTCCCATAGACTTCCATTGAAAGAGATCAAAGGGATATCTCCGGATAGAAGTGTCATAGAAACACAAGGGTGGTCTCGTTTGACTCGGGGTAGCAAACAGCCAATCATGAATCACCTCAACAATTTCTGGCCACACCCTAGCAACCATTATCGAGCACCTTAGCAACCAAATTTTAAAGAGGGATATCTTCCATTCTGAATGTCATACAGGCTTGGGAGTTGTATTATATCACTTATACTGACAAGCAGCCTTTGGAGATTCATGATTGGCAGCTGCCAAGCCACTCCCTAGCAACCAAAAAGAGTACCCTAGCAACCATTTTGCAAGGCCTACATCTCTGCATCAGAACATCGTATAGAGATGGGGGTTGGTTTATACATTCACATTGACTTTGGAGCTTCATGATTGGAAGCTGCCAAGCCACTCCCTAGCAACCAAACAGAGTACCCTAGCAACCATTTTGTAACAGCTATATCTCAGCATCAGAACATTGTATCACGATGGGGGTTGGGTCTTTTGACTCATGCTAGCACATAGAACTTTCAAAATGCTAAACATGCTAGCTGTGAATAGCTACATGCTAATATTGATTAGCTAAGTGTTAAATCATGCCATGAACAATATAAAAACTCTATAATAACCATATGTGAACACTACCAACCACCTAGTAATACCATAGCAACTACCCAGAATACCCTAGCAACAACCTAACAACACCATAGCAACCACCCAGAACACCCTAGCAACCGCATAGCAACACCCTAGCAACCACCTAGAAACTATCCAGAACACCTTAGCAACACCCTAGCAACCACCTAGCAACACCCTAGCAACCACCCCAAACACCATAGCAACCACCTAGCAACACCTTAGCAACACCCAGAACACCCTAGCAACCACCTAGCAACACCATAGCAACCACCGAGCAACACCCTAGCAACCGCCTAGCAACCATCCAGAACACCTTAGCAACACCCTAGCAACCACCTAGCAACACCCTAGCAACCACCCAGAACACCCTAGCAACCACCTTGCAATACCCTAGCAACCACCTAGCAACACCCTAGCAACCACCCAGAACACCCTAGCAACCGCCTAGCAACACCCTAGCAACCACCTAGCAACACCTTAGCAACCACCGAGCAACACCCTAGCAACTGCCTAGCAACCTTCCAGAACACCTTAGAAACACCCTAGCAACCACCTAGCAACCATCCAGAACACCTTAACAACGCCTACTAACAACCTAGCAACACCCTAGCAACCACCCAGAACACCCTAGCAACCACCTAGCAACACCTTAGCAACTACCCAGAACACATTGGCAACCACCCATAATACCCTAGCAACTGCATAGCAACCACCCAGAATACCCTGACAACCAACTAGCAACCACCCAGAACACCCTAGCAACCGGGTGGTGAGTTTTGCCACTGCAAGCACCACTTCACATTTTCGTCTGGAAATGTACGTTCTAGTTATTATTCTTTTTCTGAGACTAAAATTTCCAACTCTAACTCCTCCTAGAGCTTTAACTCCACATACTCCAAACTCGGCACGGACACTCAAACTGTTCTGACTCGCGTTGCTATATCTTTTCTAACTGATCGGACTTACGGTTCTCCTAAAAATGACGCTCAAAGTCGGAAAAAACTCCCATTGACTCCCATTGAGAAATTCAAACTGCCCAACTGTCAAAAATTCAAATCTAAATACCTTGAAGCCCCAGACTCAATCAAACTGTCATTCTATACACTATATGAGCCATTGAAACTCATTTAAACTAATGAACTCATCTATCTATGACACTTATCTATCTAATCTTAAACTCTTAAACTCAAACTAAATTAATAAACTCTAAACTTGAACTCTTAGACTCATTTAAACTTATAAACTCTAAACTCATAAACTCTAAATTCATAAACTCATACTCTTATAAACTCTCATAAAACTATTAAACTCATGAATTAATAAACTCTGGACACTTACTCATTTAAACTTATAAACTCTAAACTCATAAACTCTAAATTCACACCTTAGCAACCAGTTACAGCACCCTAGCAACCGTAGGCCATAGGCACGAGGCCGCAGGCCTCGTGCAATACTAAATATTGCTGATTTCTCAGAAACTTGTAATGTGCCACATTTGAAGAGGCTGACAGGCTCTGTAAGAAAATACCTCACAGTGGGGGAATAGTTGCACCCCTGGGGGGCAGGAGCGGCCCAAACTTGCCCCATAGACTTATTATGGTGTACACATTGCATTAGGGTTTTATATTGAACATAGCTCTGGATCACAGTGTCATAGAGACAAGGGGGCGGGCTCATTTTACTCAGACGACCAATCAGTCTCTCAGGATTACTGTGAAGCTATCAAGCCACGCCCTAGCAACCATTTAGAGCACCTTAGCAACAACTCCCATAGACTTCCATTGAAAGAGATTGAAGGGATATCTCCGGATAGAAGTGTCATAGAAACATGAGGGTGGTCTCATTTGACTATGGGTAGCAAACAGCCAACCATGCATCACCTCAACAAATTCTGGCCACGCCCTAGCAACAATTAACGAGCACCTTAGCAACCAAATTTTAAAGAGGGATATCTTCCATTCTGAATGTCATAGAGTCATGAGAGTTGATTTATATCATTTATAGTGACAAGCAGCCTTTGGAGATTCATCGCTGCCAGCTGCCAAGCCACTCCCTAGCAACTAAACAGAGTACCCTAGCAACCATTAAGCAAGATTTATATCTCTGCATCAGAACAATGTATAGAGATGGGGGTTGGTTTAAATCATTCATACTGACAAGCAGCCTTTGGAGTTTGATGATTGGCAGCTGTCAAGCCAATCCCTAGCAACCAAAGAGAGGACCCTAGCAACCATTTTTTAACAGCTATATCTCAGAATCAGAACATTGTATCGCGATGGGGGTTGGGTCTTTTGACTCATGCTAGCACACAGGACTTTCAATATGCTAAACATGCTAGCTGTGAATAGCTAAATGCTAATATGGATACTTTATAGTAACCATATGTGAACACTACCAACCAAGTAGCAATACCATAGCAACCACCCAGGACACCCTAGCAACCACCTAGCAACACCATAGCAACCACCCAGAATACCCTAGCAACCACCTAGCAACACCATAGCAACCACCCAGAACACCTTAGCAACTACCTAGCAACACCCTAGCAACCACCAGATCACCCTAGCAACTGCCTAACAACACCATAGCAACCACCCAGAACACCCTAGCAACCACCTAGCAACACCATAGCAACCACCAAGAACACCTTAGCAACTGCCTAGCAACACCCTAGCAACCACCAAGAACACCCTAGCAACTGCCTAACAACACCATAGCAACCACCCAGAACACCCTAGCAACCGCCTAGCAACACCATAGCAACCACCCAGAACACCCTAGCAACCACCTAGCAACCACCTAGCAACACCATAGCAACCACCCAGAATACCCTAGCAACTGCCTAGCAACACCATAGCAACCACCCAGAACACCCTAGCAACCGCCTAGCAACACCCTAGCAACCACCAAGAACACCCTAGCAACTGCCTAGCAACACTATAGCAACCACCCAGAACACCCTAGCAACCGCCTAGCAACACCCTAGCAACCACCAAGAACACCCTAACAACCACCTAGCAACACCATAGCAACCACCCAAAACACCCTAGCAACTGCCTAGCAACACCCTAGCAACCACCCAGAACACCCTAGCAACCGCCTAGCAACACCATAGCAACCTCCCAGAACACCCTAGCAACCGCCTAGCAACACCATAGCAACCACCCAGAACACCCTAGCAACTGCCTAGCAACACCCTAACAACCACCTAGCAACACCATAGCAACCACCCAGAATACCCTAGCATCTATCTATCTATCTATCTATCTATCTATCTATCTATCTATCTATCTATCTATCTATCTATCTATCTATCTATCTATCTATCTCTCTAACTCCATCTGTCTCTTTCTAACTCTATCTATCTATCTCTCTAACTCTATCTATCTATCTATCTATCTATCTCTAACTCTATCTATGTCTCTTTCTAACTATCTATCTATCTATCTATCTCTCTAACTCTATCTATCTATCTATCTATCTATCTATCTATCTATCTATCTATCTATCTATCTATCTATCTATCTATCTATCTATCTATCTATCTATCTATCTTTAAACTAAGTTAAACTTAATTTAAACTTTAGACTAATTTAAACTTCGAACTACTTTAAACTTCTTCAAACTACTTTAAACTTCTTCAAACTTTCTGTTCCAAACTTTCACAAGCCAACTTAAAGTTTGTCTCGACGAACTTTTTAATCTAGTTACTGAATAATATGCCATTTCTTTTACACAGACATGAATGTTGCCACGTCACGTTGCAACAGCATCAAAGTGACCGTTATCATAAGTAGCGCAAGTGCATTAAAACGATAGTTCACTAAAATAATATGAACGATAGTCCACCCAAAAATAATTACCTCATGTCGTTCCAAACCTGTTAGACTTTCGTCCAACTTCAGAACACAGATGAAGATCTTGATTGATTAAATCTAAGAGCTTTCTGTCCCTCTGCACTTCAAGCAGCTTCGGTTGAGCTTTCCCAGACAGCAACATAGAGTCAGCCCAGATCTGGCACACATCTGCAACGCGTGGATTCCACATGTAGGTCTACCGTCTGGGTCTGTTCACTGATCAATGTTTTTATGTGAATAAAAGATTAAATTCAATCTGTTCATCATAAGCGACCATGTCTCCTTAGAAAATTTGGAATACGCTCAATTCACATGTATTAGTTTTACTATCTCTTTATGAATGTTTTTAAAGGGATAGTTCACTTTAAAATTATTTTTTTGGTATGTTTTAGCTTACATCAAGGGCATCCAAGAAGTAGGTGTCTTTGTTTCCACAGTATTTTCAATTTTGATATTTTTAGGTCAAACCGTTCGCGTCTATCAGTCATATAATGGAGGTCTATGGTCACCACCTCAAAGAGCATGCACAGAGAAGTCCAAATTAAACATGATTTATTGACTCGTAAATGTAAGTACACATTGATGACCTAAGACACGAAACGAGCGGTTTGTGTGAGAAAACGAACAGTATTTATATCGTTTTTACCTCTTGTAACCACAGCCACGTCCAAGTGATCTGAGGGCGGAGGCGCTTCGGTCTGTGCAAGCGCCGGAAATGATCTCTTGGACATCAATGTGTACAAGTCATTAAATCATGGTTAATTTTGGACTTCTCTGTGCATGCTCTTTGAGGTGGTGACCATAAACCTGCATTATATGACTGACAGACAAGAACGGTTTAACCTAAAAATATCAAAATTGAAACTATTGCGGAAACAAAGACACCTACATCTTGGATGCCCTTGAGGTAAGCTAAAACATACCAAAAATTAATTTCAAAGTGAACTATCCCTTTAAGTTGCATAGACTGTCAAGCTCTCAGATTTCTTAAAAAAGATCTTCATTTGTGTCCCGAAGATGAACGCAAGCCTTACAGGTTTGGAACGTCATATGAGGGTTTGGGTGAACCATCCCTTTATCCCTTTCAGGGACTCATCGTGCGCACCTAAGTCCCTTCAAGACGTTTCACTCAGCGGCCATCTTTGAAACACTATTTCAGGCAGCTATTCCAGTCACGCAAGTTCAGCTCCTTTCCTTTTGAATGGGGAAACATCAAATTCTCCTAAGCTGTTCACTTCCGATTAAATTTCCTATTTGAGTTCACAAATGAATTCTGACAATTGTCTCACAATGAGTCATCAAATCATGAAACAATGAGGCGAACAAATCTGAATGGAGTTTGATTTGATTTAATGGTACTATTTACAAAAGGGTGTTTTCCTTTTCTTTTTTCTGCAAATGATTTAACTTTTGAAACAGTCCAAATTACAATGAAAACCGTCTCAAATAGCTATGAAGAGAAAGACACATCAAAGAAAAATAAAAAAAGACATTGTGATTGTATGAAAAAGAAAGAGACAGGGCCACAACAATAATGTCCAGTTGCATAGCAAGTAGATTCTCTCGGGGGCGACAGTGCTGAGTAAGAACACTAATATGGGCTCACAGAAACATCACAGACTAAGTGAAGGAAAAACAGACACCTCGCCGACACAAGATTCTGTGAAACTCCATAACCTGAGAAGGGCAGGTCTGTGTGAAACATCCGGCTCCTTTACGAAGGAATACAAAGTACAATCTCAACAGATGACGTAGAAAGATCCAGGAACATTTAAAGATCTAAACTAATGTGCACTAAAGGCTTTGTGTCGCAGAGCTCGCAATTTTTCCATTACGTTGTGATACATGATGCCATGAACATTAGCATGCTCCGAATGCTGGTGGGAAATTGTCAAAAAGAAAGAGAGAAAGGGGAGGGTCGAGGCGGAGAACAAGATATTGACGCCCTGTGAAGTGCTTTTTAACTGAGGAGAATATCTCTGCTTGGTGCGCGACCATCAACTGAGAATAATGCGGCAAGTATTTTTGTCAGGTTTTGGTTTTTCACTTCACAAAACAAGAATATATTTAGAACAAGTCAGCAGAGAGGCACCCTTTGGTCAAGCCCTCTTTAAGTCTGCTACACAGTGCACTACATAGTGTTCACCTGACAGGTTAGAATACCACACTAAGTCCCAATGATATATTTAGCTGACTATGAAAACATTTATGGAAACAACTTTCATACATCTCATTTACATTTTTCTTTCATCTTTCAGGTTTAGCTTTACTATGTTCGGTAATATTCACTAAAAACTGTGAAAATAATTGGCTGATGTTTGAATATCAAACAACAGAAGTCCCGACAGAATCTTTTTTTTTTTTTTTCCTTTGATTAGTATGAGTTTTTTTTCCTCAATTAATGCCATAGGAGGTGTGGTTTTAAGGTTGTTCCCGTTAGTGGGTGGGATTTAATAAGTTCGTCGTCACGGCGAGGAAGCGTCACTCTCTGACTCCGCCCTGCAGTGGGCGTCGGCTCTGATGACAGGGGGAAAGCTCAGTTGATCCTTGTCCATCTCAGGCTCCACGACTGGGTCCTCAGGCAAAGGAAAACTCCTGAGTTCCCAGGGCTGGACCGTCTGCCAGGAAAACACGCAGAGTGTTAAGAGCAGCATATGAAATCGAATCAATGGACAAATCTATCTTCAGCGCTTCTCAACAAGGGCCGCACAGTTTTTTAGCACCCATGGTTCTGCAAGTGTTTTCCACATGCATTTTCTCCAAAGGCAGAGACATTTGTCTTGAATCGAAACTAATAGCAAAAACATAAAATATAAAGGGCACTACATAGACTCACCTAAAGGATTATTAGGAACACCTGTTCAATTTCTCATTAATGCAATTATCTAATCAACCAATCACATGGCAGTTGCTTCAATGCAATTAGGGGTGTGGTCCTGGTCAAGACAATCTCCTGAACTCCAAACTGAATGTCAGAATGGGAAAGAAAGGTGATTTAAGCAATTTTAAAATGTCTGAGTATTTCACAATCTGCTCAGTTACTGGGATTTTCACACACAACCATTTCTAGGGTTTACAAAGAATGGTGTGAAAAGGGAAAAACATCCAGTATGCGGCAGTCCTGTGGGCGAAAATGCCTTGTTGATGCGAGAGGTCAGAGGAGAATGGGCCGACTGATTCAAGCTGATAGAAGAGCAACTTTGACTGAAATAACCACTCGTTACAACCGAGGTATGCAGCAAAGCATTTTTGAAGCCACAACACGCACAACCTTGAGGCGGATGGACTACAACAGCAGAAGACCCCACCGGGTACCACTCATCTCCACTACAAATAGGAAAAAGAGGCGACAATTTGCTACAAAATGTTGCCTGGTCTGACGAGTCTCGATTTCAGATGGTAGAGTCAGAATTTGGCGTAAACAGAATGAGAACATGGATCCATCATGCCTTGTTCCCACTGTGCAGGCTGGTGGTGGTGGTGTAATGGTGTGGGGGATGTTTTCTTGGCACACTTTAGGCCCCTTAGTGCCAATTGGGCATCGTTTAAATGCCACGGCCTACCTGAGCATTGTTTCTGACCATGTCCATCCCTTTATGGCCACGATGTCCCCATCCTCTGATGGCTACTTCCAGCAGGATAATGCACCATGTCACAAAGCTCCAATCATTTCAAATTGGTTTCTTGATCATGACAATGTGTTGACTGCACTAAAATGGCCCCCACAGTCACCAGATCTCAACCCAATAGAGCATCTTTGGGATGTGGTGGAATGAATGGATGTGCATCCCACAAATCTCCATCAACTGCAAGATGCTGTCCTATCAATACGGGCCAACATTTCTAAAGAATGCTTTCAGCACCTTGTTGAATCAATGCCACGTAGAATTAAGGCAGTTCTGGTCAACACAGTATTAGTATGGTGTTCATAATAATCCTTTAGGTGAGTGTATAATACTGTTCAAAAGTTTGAAGGTTTTTTTTTTTGTTTTAAAGAAATTAATACTTATAAGCAGCAAGGACACATCACATTATAAATGTCTTTACTGTCACTTTTGATGTTACAAAAGTTTTCTATTTCAAATAAATGCGGTTCTTTTAAACTTTAAGAATCGTGAAAGGTTTACGCTTTCAATAATGTTTTGTTGAGACAAACTCCAAAAAGATTTGGATTTATTTTAAATTTCAGTTATTTAATTTCAATAGAATGATCCAGATTCATTTCAGGCTGTTCTTTTGAAAGCAGAATGTCTACTAAAAGAGTATTTCCCACTTTATAATCTATGGATTTAACGTGTGTATGTTACCTTCACTTCAAAGGTGCAGTCTGAAGTGGAGCCGCACGTGTCTTCGCTGTACAGCAGTCTGTGTGTGTCTCTGGTGTACGGTGTGTGTGCGTCCCGCGAGCAAGGCGTGTCGGGGCTGGGTGGGCTCAGGGGGGACGGCACGGGCCCGTAGTCCTGCAGCAGGTGGAAGTGACTTGCGTCTGGGGAAGAGGGCTGGGAAGGGTTCGTTCCGACTATTGATGGTGTCGTTCGCCCGTCCAGTGATTTATAGGACCTGAGGAACGATATGGTTAACTATTAACTCGAAAATCAGGAAAACCTTTCTTTGGTAAGATCAAGTATGACAAGCACCTGCTGCATCTCCTCTTGGCGGGTGCGAGAGCCGTCCATCGCCAGCGAGAACGTTCCTGGTCCTCACACGGCTGATGGTGTTTCGAGAACATGGCGTCTGAAAGGTCCTCCACCTACACGGAGGAATCATTAGGTGACGTCGCTAATAAGGATCGACAATTTGGAAATGCTTGACGAGAAAAACCAGATGGATGTTTTACCGGAATGTTATCATCTTCCTCTGCCAGTGGTTGGGCTAAGGGGTCCACTTCTCTCCATCTGAGTAGACATTTTTTCAGACATTACATAATGCATCACAGATATTATAATGTGGATCACATCGCGAGCGACTTCGAGACACACCTGGGTGTGAGAATCTCTTTGTACTGAAGTTTCTCCACTCTGGTGGTGGCGGCCACTGACATGGGAATGACGATGTTGTTGATATCAAACGGACTCTCGCCTCTTCTCCTCCGAACGGGCTGTAGAAAAGAGCAAAAATGCAAGTAATAAATGAAAAATGATCACAGCTACTCTGTACCTTAAATCCACACTGGACATTGGTGACAACGCTGGCTCGGCCTGTTGTTTCACAGTTGAAAAGGAAACGGATGAGACAGAAAAACAGCGATTTACTAAAGACGCAAGTATACGCTAAACATTCACATCAAAACTGAAGCGAACAATACTGCTCACTAACAATGTATGCGCAGAATTAAATTTGAGACTTTTAAAGACTTTTAAAATAAAATAATTATCCTATGTGCATCCAGTACAAACCCATACAATCTCATTCAATTAATAGTTAAAATACTCAAGGCGTGTGTTATTCAATAGACCCTTTTACAGTTGGTAAACGTGGTGACGTTTTTTGTGGGCGGAGCTTAGGTGGAGGCAGAAAGATCCATCTGGCCGCTTCACTAACACTAGTTAGCAAGGATTGTTGGCTTGTTTTTTTAACAATGACTGGAGGAAATCCAATTTTATCTTAATGTGTAAGGTCACTCAGTGTCCAGGACCTCGATTGTTATTACCAAAAGTTATTTTTAACGGACTGAACCAGATTGGCCGACCTGTAGCCGCCTACACGCTCACTCAATGCATGGACGATCTGACAGGATTAACGTACGTTACCTCGGTTGAGTGGCCTGACGATCGTAAAGATAAACTGAGGCATATAAATCTTTAGATGCCTATATGGTCCTGTACAAGACTTGTGTGTACGATCCGCAGTTCTGCGAAGTCAGCGCCGAATCCATGACAATGTAAAGAGTGACATTACAGTGCGATTTTAATGATGTGAATATTTTCTAGAAATAAAAGTTCCAGATACAGCATATTCATTTTTCATCAATTCTTGCACCAAACAACACAACAAGATGACATTTATTTAATAACAATTATTTAAGCTCCTTATTATGTAGCCGAATCTGTGCTGTTTTGCACTGGCCGCCTCCAGTTTTCACTTTGTTTTGCCTCCAGCTAGCGCCGTGACGTAACTGTGACGTCGGTGCAAAAGGGGTCTATACCTACATATATGCACTGAAATTATACATTACATACCAATTTGATGTCAACCAATATTGTATTTTACTGATTTACATTCACATTTAGTCATTTAGCAGACGCTTTCATCCAAAGCGACTTACATCTGAGGACTACTGATATCAAGATAAACTATTCAATAAAAGGCAATAGAAAGATTATTGTGCTGATACTAGTAAAATCTATTAATCCTCTGGGGTTGTTCGTTTCAGAGTCACACTCGGGGTGTTCGGGTCCAAATGGACCCAAAGGGCGGGATTCATATTTAAAAAAAAAAAAAAAAAATCATGATTTTTTTTTTACTCATTTTTTATAATATTTTTTCTTTTCTTTTTTGGTGTTTTGAGAAAATTTCAAAAATAAAAAACAAAATTATAATTAGTATTAATGCAATAATTATGACAAAATTTCCCCCTATTGAACATAATAGAAATAATATTTAAAAAAATTTTTTTTTTTTTTTTTTTAAAGCTGTATTTCATTTTAGAGTCAAGCCTAGGCCTTAAAAAAGCAAATTTTGAAATGAAAATTTGAATTTTTTTGGTGTGTTTATGTATAAAAGTGTGTTTGTGTGTGTGTCTGGATGTGTCCGTTTTGCACTCTTGATGTTTTATAGATTCACCCCTTCACTGTTTTGTGCTTTTTTTCAAGATCGTGGCTGATTTGTAGATTGTACGCACAAAAAAAACTCACTCACATTTTTGCCAATTTCCTATTCATTCTCCATGCGGGTCCATTTGGACCCGAACACCCCAAGTGTGACTATTTTTTTTTAAAACCACTTAGACTACTCGCATCCTGTCCCCAATTTTTTGGGGTTTTCAAATGCCAAATATCAACAAAATCACCAAATTTCGGACCATTCCGAGGAAGGTTTCAAAAAAAAAATGTATTTAAATTCTTCGGGTCCATTTGGGCCGAACAACCCCAGAGGGTTAAATAACCCTAGTCATTTCTTCCTGTGACACTGCAGCCCAAAAAGATCCCCAAGAGTTTGTTGAATGAAATGCTGATCCAGATGCTGTATATCGTGTAACCATAATATCAATAAACTCACTGCCCTCAATTATGCTTTGTAACTTCTTTTTCTGGATATTAATTATATACACAAGCCTGTATACACTGGGGACCTTATTTTGCCATATCTATGCTTTAATACTTCCTGCTCATTCGAAAAGATTTCTGAGATAAAATTTGTGAGATAAAATGCACTCTTACAATCGCCTACAACACAAAAGTGGCACATTTTGACTTTGAATGCGTTTTGAAAGTTCAGGTTTTAACCATCACTATTGTATTTTTCTGTCCCTAAATTTAAGCTCTGTAACATCACAATTAAGACTTTAAACTGAAGATAAAACTGAATTTAAGACTTTTTTTAAGTATAGTGGCAAGAAAAGGAGGACGGGATCGGAAAGGACCACAAGCTAGGTTTCGCCCCAAGTTTCACCTGTGCCACGCTCCAGACTGCTATCGGCTGTAAATAATGAACGTACCACACTGTTTCCCAGAGGAGTGCTGCTCTCCACGGGGAGGGAGAGCTGTCTGGTCAAGGGACTGGTGTTGGAGGAGTGAAGGCTGGACAGAGACGGACATGGACTGCCTGCATCCATCATGACTTTTGGTGCTATATGAGAGAAGAAAATATATACACACATAAGACATGTGATGTGTGCTTATTGAACATTTAATTTCAAAACTGTAATTGTTGAAGTCTTTTAGTATCTTTAAATTCATTTTGATGGCATTTTTCTCCAAGCCCCCATTCATTTCCGTTAACGTGTACACCCCATTTTTTTACGCATGCTTCATTTTATGCAGCTGCCGGTGGTTGTGTATGGCTGACGTAAAATATTAATTAGAATGGACTATGTAAAGGGATCCAACTTTCTTTAGTGTAACGATGCTGTTTGAGCATGAAAAAGGTCTGAAAGTTACAAAGTCACTTCAAAGGGAGTCAGTATATCAGACTTCTTATGAACTTCCTGAAACGCCTCTATTGTAGCCTTTAGTTTTCCAGGAACAAACATGTCACAATATTCCTCGTTTAAATAATTCCCGGCCAAGGCATACACAAAAACAAGGGGCAATGGAGTGCAGAAGTTATGACGTCACTTATAGGCCAAAACGCGGAAGTGAGTTAACATTTTAGCACTTACGGTTCCCTCGCCCTAAAGCCTATGGGATTTTTGAAAGGATTTTTGCTAAATCGCCTGAAATAAGGTCTGTGGTGAACAAAGCCTATAAATATTTTCACGTTTTGATCTATGACATAAAACACACCAGTTTTACCATCCTTGTTGTTTTTTAATCTTTATTGTGTCTGATTGTGTTTTTTTTACTTTATATTGGCTTCAAAATGTATAAATTTTAGATTAACTTGTAAAGAATATCTTGATAGACAAAACGTGTTATGGTCACAACTCTTTGTTGAACACAGATCTTATTTTTTTTTTTGCCATTTTCCAAAAGTCTATGGGGAAAATGCATAGCTTTTCGATCGAGGGAACCCACACGCCGCTAGCTTCCGAGTTGTCCTACAAAGTGACCTCATAACTTCGGCACTTTATACCTGGTTGATTTGCGTTAGTAGTGTGTTATGATATTGGTAAGGGGTGTGACATTTCACACGCTCGCAGCGGTTGACCAATCACAACACTAGTCTAGCCAACCATTGAGCTTTTCAGAAGAAGGGGTTTCATAGAGAAAGGAGAAACAGAGTGTTACTGACAGACTGGGAAGAGAGGAGCCGCAACAATGGAGAATATGTGGGGGGAAAAGCGTTTTTTGAACATTGAAGCTTGAAACCTCTTCTAGTAGAGCCCAAAAAGGGCATAAATAACACCACTTTAGGACATATTTGGAGTCATTTTTGTATGGAAGGCAGTGCACTCACAGTCTGCTCTGTCCAATGAGTGCTCTCTGACTCTCTTCCTGCTGTGACTCCGGACCAGCACGCGGTCCGGCCTGCAGGGTGTGAGTGTGTCTGGTTTTGGGACACATGAGATGCTGTCCACCTGCTGCCTGTGCAGTTTCTCCAACCTGCTCTTGTGACGGGCCAATCCTGACAGAGAGAAAGAATTAAAAGTGAATTGCTTTGGCCACTTTGTCGCAGACTGTGAGAATCGACACGTTTGTGTACTTACGGACTGCGGCCGCATGCGAATTTGACAGTCGGAATTTGTGTTTAGAGTGGAAGGATGATGATGGTGGTGTGATGGAGAGCTTGTGTTTGAGAGAGATCTTCTTCAGCGGTTTGATCCTGTCAAAGGAACGAGTCTGCCAATGAGACCTCAACACCTTCTGCAACTGTAAGCTAAGAGCCACGTCTGAGAGACCAACCAGAGAAAAGAGAAGATAGAAAGAGAGTTAAAAATTAAATATATTCATCACATCTAGGGCCCTGTTTACACCTGGTATTAAGAAGCGTTTTGGTCGATCGGATCACAAAAGTAATCAGGACGGAAGTGGTTAAAAGTGGACAAAAGAGACACTAGGGGTACATGGGGATCTGATAGACCAAAACACATCTTAAAACCAGGAGTAAACAGGACTGCAGCTAAGTAATACAACTGATAATCTGTGGATCGTGCATTTCGGACAAACACATTAAAGTGCATACAAATCTCCATTTTTCAGGCTTGGTGAATTTTTTAAAAGGGTTTTTTTGTAAAAGATTTTATCATTTGTGACTTTTGACCACAAAAACAGTCGCATATATATTATACATCATCTGAAAGCTGAATAAATAAGCGATTGTTGGCCATTGGCACAAATATAACAGTGCTAGTTGTGACTGGTTTTGTGATCCAGGGTCACATTTTATTAGGGTTGGGTACCGAAACTCTGTGCCAATAGGGGCTAGTTTTGACGTAAACGGTAGTAACCAGACCGAATAAGAATGACAATTGATTTCCGGGAGCCGTTATCAGTATGCGGGAGACTCCCGGAACGTCTGCTGATAGCGAGGGGATTAATGAAGATGCTGAAGACAAAACGCTGCGAGGTTTGGCTGCATTTCACGTGAGAACGATTGTCTGAAGCCGCCTTGACGCTCACGTCATCATATTATATTAGCGTGCGCATCATCTGCTCCTCCGAAAAAGGAAGCTTGTCAGGAGCGCGAGGAGTTTGGCAGCGAACGCAGCGTCTCGTTCCCTATTCAGAGAACATGGGTTACACAGAGACATTCTCTTTCATATGTTTACTCAAGGCGCAGAGGGAACGAAATATCAAACTGGCTAAGAGCTTAACTAGTAAATGACCAGATAACTTGCATCACTAGTTCTAGCAGACAAAACATGTGAACCTGTAGCCATCAGAGATGTATAAAGTACTAGAAACCTGGACTTGAGTAAAAGTACAAGTGCTCGATCAAAAAAGTGACTTGAGTAGAAGTTGAAGTGCTCTTTAAGCACCACACTTAAGTAGAAGTACTAAAGTATTCAACATTTTTTGTTCTTAAGTATTGCAAGTAGTTTATTTTAAAATTCACTACTTAAGTAAAAGTAAAAGTACAAGTATTGTGTCATGTAATTATTAAAGAAAGCAGTCAAAAGTTTCAACTAGCAATCAAATAAGGCACAAATTTGCTTTGGCAGCCACCAAAAAAAAATGTCATTGCAGGACAACCCCTGCATTAGTTGTCAATGTGTGTGTGTCAATCAATACTATACCCTATAAAACTGGCGTGTGATTTAGGCAGTATGAAAGCCAACTTGCAACGAATGATTCATAAAATTTTTATAATTGTAACTAACGAGTAACTAGCAGAACATTAAAAAAATATCGAAGTAAAACTATTAAAGGGTTAGTTCACCCAAAAATGAAAATTAAGTCATTAATTACTCACCCCCATGCTGTACCAACCCCGTAAGACCTTCGTTCGTCTTCGGAACACAAATAAAGATATTTTTGATTAAATTTGAGAGCTGTATAACTACCACATTGGCTCCTAAGGGACTGCCTCTTGACGGCCCACAAAGTCAATGAAGAAAATGTTTAAATATCCCAAGTGACTACCGTGGCTCAACTATAAGTTTATCAAGCGACGCGAATACTTTTTGTGCGAAAAAACAATAAAAAATAACGAGTTTATTCGACTATTTCTTTTCTTCCTTGTAGGCCAGAACGAGACTTCCTTATAGATTTCCACGACGCATGCGCGAGATTTGCGATCTGCGTACAACAGCTTACACTACTTCAGATCGCAATTCTCGCGCATGCGTCGTGGAAATCTATAAGGAAGTCTCGTTCTGGCCTACAAGGAAGAAAAGAAATAGTCGAATAAACTCGTTATTTTTTATTGTTTTTTTCGCACGAAAAGTATTCGCGTCGCTTGATAAACATATAGTTGAGCCACGGTAGTCACTTGGGATATTTAAACATTTTCTTCATTGACTTTCTGGGCCGTCAAGAGGCAGTCCCTCAGGAGCCAATGTGGTATTTATACAGCTCTCAAATTTAATCAAAAATATCTTCATTTGTGTTCCGAAGACGAACGAAGGTCTTACGGGGTTGGTACAGCATGGGGGTGAGTAATTAATGACTTAATTTTCATTTTTGGGTGAACTAACCCTTTAAATGTCACTGAGAGATGTAGCCTATGTTATTTACTGAGGAATTCACTATTTTGTAGAGGGAATGGCAATTTTCCCCTGATATTTGGAAACAAATTATAGGGGTGTAAAAATTACGTTAAAAAGATGGCATGGCAGCATCATTTTTTTATTTTTTGCCTCGTTTGCATGCCTGTTACACAAGAAGTATTAAAGATATCTTTATCTCGCTCCCTGCTCTTTACAGTAACATTATAACTACAGTAATTTGAACAATAAAAACTTGAGTATTTTTTTCAGTGTAATTGACTATTATTTTCAGTTTGGACTAGTAGCGGCTGTACTGTTTAAGCCAAGTTCACACTACAGGATTTTAAGCCTGATTTATGCCCGATTTGCAAATCGTTGAACTCGTCTACAGGTCAAGGGTGTTATCGCGGGGGATTAGCGGACGATGAACGCTTGCCAATCTGTTAGTATGAAAGAGTCAACAATGCAGCGAAAACGCTCGCAGACGCGTCACCGAGCCCAGAAAAATATCTAGCCTGTTAGTATCCAGAGCCATCGCGCGACTCAATCTCAGTGATGTCATCATGAGTACAGCCAATCATAGCAACGCATGGATTGAGGACACCAGGTAAATCTTAGTTTTTCTCAGAGCAGATCGTCGCGCAAACAGTGTGCAGCACTAGTTTCTCTGTCTGACGTCTATATTCACGTGTTGTGTTCTCTTCTTCGCTGGGTATTGGCGCAATATTTATGTATTTATTTATTTATTGCGTTTTTTTGTGACAAAACGTGGTTTGACAGAGTTAGAATCGTTGGGTGACCGAGTTGTCAACTCATTATTTATTTGATTATTTTCAGGATTTAGACCGTAACATAGTACTGAAACAGCTCTCATTGAGTCACAAATGATTTGCTCTTATCATCCGATCGTGGTTGTATCTCTATGTAGTGCGCTGTCAACTCGTGTAGTGAGTTACCTCCTGTTGTGGATCAATCACGTTGTGTTGTGTGGTGTGAACAGCTCAACAACTTGAACACTCCTGATTTCACTGAGAGCAAGTCATGTAGTGTGAACCGTACAATTCAGCCTGACGTTTTAAAATCATGTAGTGTGAACAAGGCTTTAGTCGACTGCACATCCCTAGTTTTAACGTACCTGATCTAAAATTAAAGCCCATACCATAGATAGTCCACAAAAAGCAACGGGACAAAATATTTCAAAACAGTTTGAGCCTGTGCGGTGCGCTCAGCCATCAGGAAGTGAGTGCTTAATGGGCTTCAATTTTATCCATTGAAATCTATGGGGTCGTTGTGTCCATTTTTTTTACTGTCTATGGCCATAACCAATCGCTAACATTTGGTCGTACTCGTAACGTATGCCGATTCAAACTAGTGCATGACATCAACGTCACTGTTCTCAGCTGTTCCCTCTGTTCGCTGATTGGCCCAGTAAAAAATTGACTGGAGGAAACCAAAGAATACAGCACAAATCCCATATGTAGTACTGAAGGAAAATTAAGCAGAAGTACGTAGGAGGGCGGGACAATCCCAACTCATTCTTGGCTCGACTGTTTTTTTTTTTTTTTTTTTTTTTTTTTTGGAAACCTGTGTGCAGATGAACCTAAAAACACCAATCAACTTATCTTGTGCAAACGAAACACTTTGACCCTGTTTTGCTCAAAGTTAAGATTTTATAATATTGCAGCAATTATCGTTTGAGGTCATTGAATTAGTTTTAACGCAGCTGTTTTTAACTTTGATTCAATGCTTGATTTTAGAAGAATGCACTTGATTTTTCAGTAACAGGTTTATGTTTGTCTGATATGGTGTTTGACCGTTTATACCCGCATATTGCTGACTATTCCCATGCAGCCTGTATAGGATCATTGAGGGTTCTGCTTGAAATGGGTGAGCACTGGCTGTGACCCCGATATGAAGGAGCGATTTGTGTAGTCAACACACGAATGACACACTCCTCCATTTAAACATGATCGTAGACTCGCTCACACGTTCTTCCTCTAATAGGGGGTCATTGCCAGGGCATATGAGGGGAGAGAGAGGGGGGCTGAAGTCAAACAAGGGGCATGGAGGTATAGATGGGAAATTTCATAGCTTTTGGAGGGTTATTATGAGAGCGTGTGTATTTAGGACGTCAAGTGGGCTGGTCCTGATGAGAGGGTTTTGTATAAGAGTCAGCAGTAAGAGGGATGGGAGTCTCGTGTTGCCCTTTCACAGATGAAAGCTCCAGGGTTGAAGGAAAGTTCCTCAGGCGGTCATTCAGAGGACGTGTGAAAATTCTGATCATGCTCAAATGTATGTGAATGTGCAGTCTGATGATGTTCATAGTCAGCAGCATAATGTGAGTAAGGACCACTGAAATGGTGAACAGGAGCAGCTAATTGGTAAAACCTGTCCTTTTTTTCTTACTAGTAAATGTCTAGTAAGTAGGATAGGGTTTGTAACAGTATATTCATGTCAGGATTTGGTTCAACACACGATACTGATATCATGATGATACTACAAACAAAGCCATCAGTGGACTTGAATAGGCTTGGATTTGGTATTCTTCCCCATGCATAAAATGGACATTTTTATTTTTATTTTATTTGATGTTTTATTTTCAATTTATTAATAAACATGGCAGCTCAAATGTGTGACCTTCTGGGTTTACCATAATCAATGCTATATTAAATATCTAAACTTCACAATACGATGCAATTTGCAGATCTGAATAATACATTCAGTGATTTTGTTGGAAAATATGCAGAATTGATTTAAGTGTTGTTAAATAGGAGCTGAAAGCATAATCCGAGTATCCCAAAATATTTAATAAACACACAAATTTGAGGTGATATGTATAACTTTAATTTCTGAGTTCATATTTCTATTTTATACTCTGAACAGCATTGTTGTAATGACCTGCACCCCTCAAACCCATCAGCACATATAAATGTGTACTTTTTCACCTTTTTCTTGTTTCAAAGTGAAGTTGTAGAGAATACAAGGGACATGCATACAAAATTGCCCCGTAGATTGATTATGTGTCTGGATCGGAAGGTAATCAGTGTTGGCCCCTTTGTCCTGACTGCTCTGGCA